AAGTGGGGATTTCAGATAAGACTCCAAAATCAAGGTTCTGGACAGCCATCTGTTAAGTCATACGATGATCAAATTTTGCCTATCCTGACGTCTGATCCGCGGAAGCTAAGAACCTGTCGGGTGGCGGTGACTAGTTTACAAGGTACAGTACTGAAATGACACGGTGCAGCTGTACAGTAGTCTGAACTCTAAAGTTTTCATGCAGGGTCGCCACTTGAGTTGGAGAAGTTGGAGAGGAGAGCTAGGTGAGGCCGAGGTCAGGGATGTTGGTGCAGCTGGGACTCCTCTTTGGATGATACTTTGGTTCAAGTCGGCTTACTGGGCTTCAAAGTTCAGCACTGATCTTTGCAGCATGGATGATGTATTTATGAACTTTGAGAGTGGATATTGAAATACAGGGAGGTTTGAGATATCGGCAATCGTCGGTAGAAGGGATAGGGCTCTTCAAGCTGGGTTATGCAACGGTAAACCTTAATTCGGGGAACCCCAGATCCGATGCCGGAGCGCCGAATGACCGTACCCGAAAGAGTAACGTCGATAGTTACCAATTCCCTGAGACTCTTACTGATGAGGTCATCGAGTGACGATCAGATGAAGATTGACGGTGAAATCAGTACACTGGGCACAGAATGATGAAAATATACTCTTGGTTGATCACTGTGGGCAACTACAAGCGCGTGTTGGCTGCTGGAATCGCTTGCTAAGCTAACGTCGATAAACGACTGTCGTTATTTACGTGCTACTTGCAAAGACTCGCCCCGGTCCCAGATATTGAATATTAGTTCTACAGATTCATTATTCTTGGCATTGATTTGAGGTTCAGATGAAAGTATGAACGCATTATGAGACAGGACTCAAGTATCACGCTTAGGTTTAGCTGATCGAGGCCGTCGACTATTATCGACGGCTTCTGGTCTTAGAGATACTTCTCTAGTACAGATAGGCTTCTCTGATGGCTTCTTTCCATGAGTCAGCTTTCATCCAACCATTGACAACTGCTATTTGTCTTATGAGGGGTTGTCCCAACGTGTAGTGGTACGAGGTGTTTCATGGAGAAAGGAGATTCTGAAGGTAGTAGGTGCAAACATACGAGAGGATATTTCGAATTGAATCATCATATCACAGTTCATAGTACATAAATAAACCAGTTGGTAATATGAGAGGATGCCGACAGAGACGACCAATAGTTGTAATCGCCATGACTGTAGTTTCACTGGCACTCTCAATATGGAATATCTCCGTAGATTGGTATTTCGATAACAAATAGCAAAGCCTGACACTGGAGCGATAAAGCGCATACCAGTGGTGGAAAGGGGGCTTCTCAGGCAACCATAACAGCCGTTCGCTAAGGTGTCCAAGCGGCGGTTTGGGAGCGAGAGGCAAACGGCAAGAAAGCGCAAGATCGAGCGTGGCATCAATGAGTTACTAATTAAGTTTGTGAAAACCTTGATGAATTTAGTGAGATAGAACGAGGATGGGGTGAAGATGTCTCTAGACTAGTTCGCCAAGGATTCAAGTCGATCGAGCTAATAAGTACCCTTGATATCCATCTTCTTAGGGCTATGCAGTAGTTACTATTTTGTGCTCAGCCTCCTCTTGCAATGCACAGAAGTGAATCCAGACAAGTGGGTTGTTCCGAGCGAAAAGATATAGGACAGTTTGATGATAGGATGATTCAGTGATCTTTTGAGACTGGTGTCTCGAAAGACTGCGGTAACCGACCCCCGAGACCGTAGTTACACTTTCCATGACGTCTTTGGCTTTTCTGGAACGTCCCTAGGCTCCTTGCTAGTAAGGAGCTCGAAACAAAGGAACATCGCAGTCGTTTCTAGCATTGGTCGACTGACCACAGCGTGACAGCTCAGTACAGCTAGCCAAACCTCCACCACAATCAAAAGGGCACATACGATTCAAGATTCATTATGCATGGTGAGTCTCTCAGGTTTATTTACATTAGGATTAAAAGCACAATGGCTCTTATAGAGGAGCTCAACAGACTTCTGTTCAAGGTTAATGAGAATGTAATTTATGATGCTGAAGGTCATAGGTTATCTCACTTAAAGCATAAACATGTGCAAGACAGCATAGATAGTTATGCTACTCTCGGGGGAATTTATCGATTGTCTCGCCAAGGTTTTGTCTGATTCTGGTATAGTTCACTTTAAGGAAATGCTGAAATATATTGTTAAGAGTTCCGATGAAGTCCTAGCCGTTCTGAAGAAAGGTGAAGTCATCAAGGCAAGCCGCTTGGTGGTTCAGCACGTCGTCTCAACACTTGTATCATGACAGGGCTCTGTGGGTGGCATCAGATGAATCGTTGGGCAAGACGTTAATGGCTGGGCGGGATCTTGTGAACGCACTTGTGAGCCATGAAGAAGCCTCGCCCTAATTCCAGCCCCTGCAGTCTAGGAGTAGGAGATTGGCCATGGCATATATCCCAAGAATGTCTGTATATACTGCATGAGAAACATTCATCTAAAGTTGGAATGCAGTATAAGACCCTTGGTCTCTGTTATCCGACGATAGGGGCCCTTGTTTCTGAACAGGTAGTCGAGGGACTCATGTCTTTTCGGAAGCTCAAGCATGGAATGTATCGTGGCACGCACTGCTGAGGCGAAATTACGGAAGGGAATCTCTTGAAAGCATAGAACGACATCTCGAATCTGCTAGAATTACAGATATTTCAATATTGTTGATTCATTAATAACTTTTCATTATATGATTCTACATAACCCATCTAGTCCCAATTTATACAATTCATCATCATATCGCATTAATTTATTTGAGCTTGAGGACAGCCTTGCCAAAGTTCTTGCCCTGGAGCATACCGATGAAACCCTCAGCAGCGTTGTCAATACCCTCGGTAATGTAAAGCTTGGCCTTGACACTGCCGTCGGCGAGCCACTTCTGGAGATTCTCCTGGTGATCCTTGTAGTGGGCAGGGCCGAAATCGGGGTGAGAAACGAGGAAACCCTCCATCTTGACCTGCTTGGCGATGAGGTTGAGCAGACCCTTGACACCTTGGCGCTGGTCGGCGGGGGTGTTGTACTCGGAGATCTGAAATTTGTTAGTTATGTGATATTGAAGAAGGGTGCAGAGTTAGCTTACCAGACCGCAGACGGGGATACGGCCACCAACGTTGATGTTGGCGAGAGCAGCCTCGAGGTGCTCACCACCGACGTTCTCGAAGTAAATATCGATACCGTTGGGGGCGAGACGAGGAAGAGCATCCTTAGGGCTCTCCTTCTTGTAGTTGAAGCCAGCATCGAAACCAAGCTCCTTGGTGATGAAGTCAAGCTTAGCATCGTCGCCAACGGAACCAATAACAGTCAAACCCTCACGCTTGGCAACCTGGCCAACGATCTGGCCAACAGCACCAGCAGCAGAGCTAATGAAGATAGTCTCGCCCTTCTTGGGCTTACCGATCTGGTGAAGGCCAGACCAGGCGGTGAGACCAGGCATACCCAGAGGACCGAGGAAAAGACCAAGGTCAAGGTTGTGAGGGTTCTGGACCTTTCTCAAGTTAACCTTGGGAATGGTGTCCTTCTCAACGCGGACATATTCGGCAATGGGGAGGTAGCCGGTGACGAGATCGCCCTCGGAGAAGTCAGAGGTGTCGCTCTTGATGATCTTGCCAAGAGTACCGTTGACGATGGGGTCGTTGATCTCAAAGGCGGGAGCGTATGACTTGACTGATGTGTCGCGCATCTTTCCGCGGAGGTAGGGATCGAAAGAGGCATATTGGAGCTCGACGACGACACCGCCCTGAGGAGCAGAGTCGATATCAACGGGGCGGTCCTCGATGACGAGATGCTCACCGGCCACAGGGAGACCAGTGGGGATCTTCTTGTAAACGAGAGTCTTGTTCTGTGTCATGTTGGCGGATGTATGTGAATGAGTTTGTATGTGTATAAAGTGTATGAGATGAGAATGAAGAGGGTATATATGATGAAGATGAAGGTATGATAGAATATGAGAAATGAACGACGTCACTGCAACTTTTATAAGACACGGTGCATCAAGTACCGAAGCCACGTCAAAGTGGCGCTGGCATTATACCGAGGCTCGTTGGAGGCTTGATTTGTCAGGGACGGACATGACAAAGAAAAAGAGAAAGCATTGAGATTTTCTGCGATAACTAAAACGTCACAGCGCGAGGGAGGTCCACATAAACGGTGATGTTTCCCGAAGCGGTAATGACCTCATGGATGATGCCATGGTGGTTGAATTCACATCACCCAATCTGCCAGCTGAGAATCAGCCAACTAGAAAATTAAGGTGTGTTTATGTTACATGCCGAGGTATCATGATTATGTAGCTACCACTAGCAAATGTAGTAAGATCCTTATTCTTTCTCAGTGATTGTACGTAGCGAGAAGTAGTCTAGACGGACGGGAGCGGGGTGCAGATGGTGGATGCTCGGATAATTAACTGAGAATGGATTGATGCGCTGAACCTCGGCGTCTCCGTTTCTTTTGGTTGGTTGTGGAATCCAAGAGTAGAATTCTTTACAGGCTTCTAGCGCTGTCTATCATGAGCTGGACTCGAGTTTTTGCATTAACGCCGAGTGCTTTCCGGTCAATGCTGTTCTGTTCTTCTCTTCACCGTTATTAGAAAATTGGAGAGATGAAAAGTCTGTGGCTGCTGAGTAATGATGTGAGAGTCATGTTGAGTGTTGAGCTTGCGACGCATGAGTCAAGTCATGGTGGCGATATTGAACGTGGCAGTGAAACTCTAACAATATTCCAACAACCAATCTAATACCGTATCAACACTGCCGAAGCTCACAGACATCTGTTTTCGTGATAGCTTAATCAAGCTCATCCACTTACCCTAAAGCGTTCCACGCATCAAAGTATAACCGAAGCCCGAAAGCTTATTCTTCCTCTGTGTTCATGTTCATATCACCCCACCAGATATCACCGCCGCGATAACCTCCCCCGGTAGCAGCCGAAAAACCACAATGACTCGGAGGTCAACCAGGCAGGGTGTGATTGACCATGCAAGGAAACTACAGGAAGATCCAACCGGCTCCGAGAGACGACGCCGAAGATGAGATCGACCGCAAGTTCCGGGTGACTAAACGGAAGCGCCAGCATGTCAGGATAGCCTGTAATCCCTGTCGAGAGAAGAAACGCGCCGTGAGTCTTTAAACGAGTTGTAATCCCTCTCAGCTAATGAAATAAAGTGCAATGGTATAGAACCGACCTGTGATCAGTGTCAAACACGCACTTTGGCGTGTATCTATCGAATACCCCCCAAAACAGTTGATTCAACCATTAAAATTCAAAAACAACTTGATACGCTACAGCACAGCTTTAGTCATTACGCGGATATATTAGAGCAGCTAAAAACGTTACCGGAATCAGATGCGCTCAAGCTTTTGCAGAGACTCAGATCGCCGGCGGATGTGAATGGGGCTTTTTCGTCGTTGCAGGGGAGTATACATACCAGGATGCGACTGTCGAATCACAGGACATCTCAGGCTATATTGCCGACTACGAATTCAAGGGTTGAGTTTGAACTCACGGCGCTTCATGGGATTGTTTATCCGACTTTGGTGCCAATTGATATTACATCGCTGGGTATTTCGCCGTTGGAAAAACCGGCGCTTCCTGCGTCGCAGACGGCGAATTCTGGGACTTCGGTGCAGAGATTGCCGTCGACACCTATTGTGCTTTCGTCGGATCGGTTTCGTCCACTTTGCGATAGTCGGCTGGAAGAAATTGATATTTCGTATTGGACAAAGGTTCCGATCAGCAATGACTCTGCAGCAGCGATGATCTCGCTATTTCTGGAAACGGACCAGACGATCGTTGGGTTCATCGACGCTGACTTATTCGTCGAGAGTCTTGTGGAGCGAAAACCTCAGTTCTGCTCTACGTTTCTCGTCAGCGCGGTATTATACGTTGCTTGCGTAAGTGAACCCGATCCCAGAAGCAAGCATTTCTTTTTCGGCACAGGCTAACATGGATGACAGCATGCGTACACGGCTTCAGATTTGAAATCTGTAGCCCTCGGCGGCCTTTTCTTCAGAGAAGCTGAAAGGCTCTTCCGTGCTGAAGGGTCATCCGACGACCTCGTCACGCTGGCGGCTATCAACATCTTCAGCCTCGCCTGTTTCTTCCACGGAAATGACAAGCTAGCTAAAGAACTCCTTGGTGCTGGCCGCCACATGGGGAGGAGATTGGGCTTATACGGTGTACCGCTTGATAGTCCGTCATCGCTGGCGTTCCAGGAATTACCGGATGACGTGATCCGTATGACTGCGCATGTTGCCTGGAGCACTTACAACTGGTTAACGTAAGTGACGCATCAATTGGTTCGTTCAGCATTTTCTGAGATGGCCAACACAGGATCCATGTTTTGTACTACCACGATGAGAGTGTAGCAATACCGCCTGCCCTACCCATACCTGGAGATGGGCGACATGACGACCTATGGCCTGAACATCCGCTCCCAGAATACATGGGCTCTTCATTCACGAAGTTGTGCGAGTTCTTCACTGTTATCCAAGAGGTTGCAGTAGTTTACTCTGTAGCGGACGGTACACCAATTGTTGATCGCGTTCCCATCGCTTTTGCAGAAGCAAAGTATCAGAAGATTCTAGCCTGGGCGGATTCTCTTGGTAAAAACATGGCATGGGACCAAAACAGCCAAGAGCATGTCATGCTTTTCCAGTGAGTCCACAACACCCCTTAGGGTTATTCTACTGACTTGATACTTAGTATGTGGTTCCACTGTGCAGTTCTCGACATCTTCCGCCCCTTCGCCCAAGGCCACCAAAGCTACAAACTACAATCCTTCTCCTCCCCCGACAGCACCCCCAAAACAATCTTCTCCGCCTCCCTAAACCAACTAAAACGCCTCGCCCTCCTCTACCGAACCCAGCAAATGCCCAACAGCTACATGCCCTACATAAACATATCCCTAATCCACATCGCCAACACAATCTGCAAAGAAACCAACGATCCCACTTCAAAATTCTACTTTCTCCTCTGCACCCGCTACTGGCAGCATTTGTACATTGGATATCCGATATTTGGAGAAATAGCACAGGCGTTTTTGACGATGGCGATAAACAATGGGCTTTTGACGAATCGTGAGGCAAAGAGGCTTATGGCGGAGGTTAAAGGGCAGGGGAGACATCATGAGTTGTCGCATGAGGGGATCTCGACGAGTTTGATTGTGGATTTTGATTTGGCGATGACGAACAGGGGGGAGGCGGATGTTCAAGCTGTTGCGCAGAAGTTTGAGGAGGTGGCGCTGTTTGATGAGTTTGCGGTGTATAAGAAGGAGGATTAGATGGGCATTGGTTTGCGGAGCGGAGTTATTATACCCTTGCATAGTTTGTCTTTTTATTAACATCATGATTATGGAGGTAGGTAAATGGGAAGAGAAAAAAACCCATAGTGTGTTGAATTACTTGCTCTTTTACAAGAGTTTGAACAGCTTCTTCTGATCTTCAGAGCCGTTGTCTCTCTCCCAAGCATCAATAACCTCCCCATCCATGATCCCATGTACATAAGCTGGCCCAAGAAATAAATACTTGTCTGTAGTCGCTGTTGGTCGGATGACATATAGTGTCCCGCCTCCAAACAGAATGCAAACGACATCTCCGCGCCTCATACAGCGCGGCCCAAAACCAACATATCCCGTTTCCGTGATAAATATCTTGCTATCATCAGAAGCTCGAATCGCCTCTGCAAACCGCCGCGGCCCCATCATCAAATCACAATCAATCCTGCTGAGTATATCTAAATCAGCCGATACAACCCGCGGATCATGCGGATACAGAACCTTGAGCATTCTCTCCAACAACTCGAAATCCTCAGGTGATGTCCAGCATGGCTCTTCCGGCAGAGGAATGGCTTTTGCGGCGAGCCTCACGAGCTCGAAATATCTCCTCTGATCAATTTCTCTGCCGTCTTGGGACATGTGGGTCTGGATTGTGCAGAGCAAGAAAAAAGCTATGAAATTATTGAGGTATTCGTCGTCTTTTGGAGGTCTTGTCGTCTGGTCTATCATAGGGCCAGAGCTCTCATGGCCGGCCATCATTGTCAGGAGGACCGTTCTAATGATTTCCGAGCCGTATCTTTTGTTAAAGACGTCGATGTTAAGTGTGATCATGTCGACAGCAGCGGGGATGTCTTGGTGTATGTCTGCCGTCCTATCGTGCATCTCTTTGACTACATCGACCCGGAGGCCTCTTAGGCTCAGTATTGAGTCCTCTGATGATGGCTCCAGCACCATTGGTCGACTTCGAGAGGCAGTAAAGTTGTATTTGTTCAAATAGCGATTATGCAAACCATCGTCAGAGTGCCATCTCGGTGCCCAAAGAGGCAGACGTTCTGAGTCCTCGGGGTCCCCCACATAAGAGTAATCGAGAATATTCAAGTTCTTTTCCGCTGTCATCACCGCACGAGCAAATTCTGTAAAGACTTCCGCCTTATTCCTGTTATAGTTGGGTACAGTGTTGTAATTTCGATCCCCAGCAAGACCAATCAATGCAAATATTTTGTCCCGTGCGTCTGTTGCATGAGTTGATGATACAGAAGAGACTAGCTGCAAGAGATTGGTATCCCCAACTTGATAATGCCCCATGTATAGAAGAGCGACTGTGTTCCACTCCAGCTGCGGTGAGCCTTTTTCAAGGTCGACGTCGGATAGTTTGTGGGCGAGAGCTGCTAATCTGAAAGTCTTGAACTCGTGTTTAGAGATAGTGACGTCTCCCCATAGCAGTGAGAAATCAGACGCGACGGCGACTTCTTGTATGATCCAGACTCTTGAAAAGTATGGTACGTTGAACAGTGTGTTCAAGGCATCCCAAGCTGGGGAGTCTCGTGTTGGCAGACCAAGATCGAGCAATTCTTGATCCTCGGGAAAGTAGTCTCTCAGAAAAAGACTGGGTTTCGGGTTTGCCAGGGTTGATATGATGCCCGCTGCAGAAGCTGCTAGCTCTGGATCAGCAGGACCAAGCCACGCGTTGACAATTTCCGCATTGGAGTAGATGTGCCTCATGATGCTGACCTGCTCTGACCGCTCTGTTACGGAGTCTTGGTCTATGCATATTTGATCGATCCATACGTGACGCGGTTTTTCAGGTAGTCTGAGCCGCCTCAGGGCTGTGTCGAGACTATCGGTGATGTTGAAGTCTTGTCCGTTGCATGTGATTGACTTGGTTCGATTGAGAGGTCCCCATACGTAGCTGAGCGCTTCATACTTGGGCGCTGCATTGAGTGGATGTGTCTGTAGAGTACCGCGGAGCTCATCACTCCCTTGTCCAGGATCAAGCGTAAAGATTCGGAAGGAGTCTTGATCCAATTGTTTATCGTATTTGTATGCCAGACTGCCTTGAGTCCAGTCAGTAAGTTTCCATGTAATGCCTGACGGCAGACGTACACTTTGTGTAAGAGGCAAACGATCGATTCTTAAAACTAATACGAAATGACGAATCTTCAGTACGCGTCCTCCATACGGAGCATTTGGGACGAAGGCTTTCGAAGTTGAGGGATAATAACGGCATATAGCCTCTCCACGTCAATGAAGAACACATCTTATCATGATTAATGATCGTTTTGACTCCAAAATAACATTGATCGAGAAATTTCAGTGACTAGAACCCAAGTATATAGCTCAGGTGAGAAAATTATGTGTATAAAGCCAGTTGATGTTTGTATCAAACACAGCCCTGTACATTGGAAATTAGGCAGCCACTGCCTGATTGGGATTTCGTTCTTCATGTGCTGATGTCTCAGCCGCATCTGCAACTATACAATCAACAACTCAGCCAGACTCCGAAGTGTAAAATGCTTGACTCGATGATGTGTATTCGATATTCTACATTACTTATCGATGTTCTTCCATTTGCCGTACAAGTTCTTTAGAGCAAGTCATCGGAGGCCTGCCTGACATTGAGTCAAGTAACTCTTGATCATAGTCTAGCATTACTTGCAAATGATTCCGAACATCAAGATTCCTGGGACATTCAAGAGTGAATAGAGTACTTTAGCTTGGACGTGGTCGGGACCGTGTCATACCCGAGCAATGATTGGTCACCGAGCAAGATTCGGTGATCTGGGACCCTGTCATGCCCAAGACATGATTGACCAGGCCCTGGCTTTACAATTGGACCCTTGAAAACCCTGACGTACAGCGAACCTGTCAAAAAGCCTAATTATTAGTTAAAAAAATGCGTCAGGTCTTTGAAGTCACCCTAGAAATTTGCCGCCAGAATGGCTCTCCCTCGTCACACTCTCCGACTTCGCGCTTCTACGACCAACTTTCAAGTCCTCAACATTTCTGGGAGCCTGTTTATTAGCCGTCATTTTCCGACTAGTAACAAAAGTTTATTCTATCACACTCATTCTCTTATGATGAACGGACATGGAGACCTGAATAACTCCCACGCCGGGAGGACGGCAGTTGAACTGACACCCGACCCAGCCTACGCCTATCGATCTCTCGCCATTCATCCAACAGATGACGATGCTGAAGTTCGAGATAAATATCGGCCTTTCCTTCTTGAAGGCAAGCTCATCAAGGATGACTGGGTCGCAGAATTGGAGCTGAGCACAGCCATCAAAATGGTTCAGGAGGAGATTCTGGATAGAGGGCTGGATCGCCTGCGCATTCTGGTCCTCTACGGTAGTCTAAGAAGTCGGTAGGTATTGAGCGTCAGTTTCAAAAGCCGAATACTAAGCTTGCACTCCCTCTAGATCGTACTCTCGCCTCCTCGCCTTCGAAGCCGCACGTATTCTCCACCGTCTCGGCTGTGATGTAAGACTCTACGACCCAGCTGGCCTACCCCAGAAAGACGACGTACAACATAATCACCCTAAAGTTCAAGAATTACGAGAGTTGAGTAAGTGGAGTGATGGCCATGTCTGGATAAGCCCAGAACAACATGGCAACTTGGTAAGCCCTCGAATGCTCCAATCTTGAAACTCGGAGCTGACTAGAAGTCCAGACCGGCATCTTCAAACAACAAATAGACTGGATCCCCCTCTCAACCGGCTCCGTCCGTCCAACCCAAGGCCGAACCCTCGCAATCGCTCAAGTCAGCGGTGGATCGCAATCTTTCAACGCCGTCAACTCCCTTCGTATTCTTGGGCGATGGATGCGTATGTTTGCTATACCAAACCAGAGTTCTGTGCCAAAGGCGTATACGCAGTTTGCAGATGAGAGTGAAGGAAGTCGTATGATACCGAGCTCGAACCGAGATCGTCTTGTTGATTGTATGGAGGAGTTGGTGAAGTATACTATTGTCATGAGGCCGCATTTCGATCTGTTTGGAGATCGGTTTAGTGAGAGGGAGGAGAGGAGTGTGAAGGAGAAGAACGGAGCAATAAAATAGTACGATAGATTAGATATGTCATTATGAATCATGTAGACATGGAGTTCTTGCGCCTAAGGGGAAGATGGTACGGTCCAAGCTAGACAACTGCCATTCATGAAGTCAATCTCATGACCAGCAGCAAGCACAGCAAGTGTAGTCAGAGTATACAAACTATCAAGGACAAATCAGCTGGCTTAAAGCCAAGCCAGATATTTCCAACTCTATTTATCAACTGTACAAATGTAAGGTAAATCCCAGAACGGTACGTCTTCATCGTTACTTTGTCGCTCAAGTCTCAAAAGCAGCCCTTGTCAGTTCTCCAATACGCCCGGACGATGCGTCAAAATGACCATGTCCCATATGCACACCACCAATCCAATGCTAAGTGCCAATGCGGTCTATTGTATTTTTGTTGTTGTTTGGTCGCGATAAGCTCACGCCTCGTCAGCCTCGTGCTCGGCGAGGTTCTCATCTGATCCTTGCCAATCGTCGCTCTCAAGGCCGTCGCGGCGGATGAAGAGAGATGAAACCCAGCCCAGAATGGCCAGACCTCCAAAAATGCTCCAGGCCAGTGCTTCGCCCTTGGGTCGGATGTTGATGGATAGACTGAAGAGTCCGCCTGACACGAAGGGGCCAAAGCTGCGACCGAGAGCAGAGAGGGTTTGCGCCATGCCGTTGAGGCTACCAAGGCTCGAGTGCGACGGAGCAGAGTTGGTGATCTAATACAGTTAGCAAAGATTCGCATAGATAATGCGTAGTGTCGCGACTTACCAAGAGCATGACACTGGACAGGCCGCCCACTGCGCAGAGGTTCTTCAAGATCAATACAACCCCAAGCTCAATGTACAGCCACATCTTGCCGCTTCCCAGGCCAAAGAAAGGTTTGCTATCCGCATAGCCAACCCACGGCATAAGCAACATGCTGATACCAAGTCCCAGAAGTGAGATTTGGTAGGTACCGAGATTGCCCAATCTAACCTTGAGCGCTTGGAAGAGGAACGCCTGGAAGATGCAGCTTGCCAAGCCAGCAATGCTCAGACTGATGCCAATCTTACTGGGCAACAAGTCGCGACCTGCAGGTGGAGGTGTAGCGGCAAATATGGGATAGAGGCTGTTGAAGGAGATGTTCGATAGTTGGAAGACGAGGTAGGTGAACAGAATGAGGATCGTTGTTCGGCTGAGGTCTTTCCACGCGGACATGGCTGGATCTAACTTGTCATCACTGTCGTCATCGTCGTTCTCGGTCTCTTCGTCATCGGATTCAGATTCGAGCGCTCGTCCGGAGGAAAGCAGGGGCTGGTTTTGGGATTGAGATCGAGGCCAGCGCGCGCTCCAAGATGCTCGTCGAGGCGGAGGCTTGCTCGGAGAGAGCCAGGAGAGTAGCTTTTCGACCCAAGCGGGCTTCTCAAAGTTGACTTCAGTCTTGTCCAGGGTCTCTTCGAACCAGATGCTGACCACCACCACGCTGAGAGCGAGGAGACCGGCGGACAGAATGTTGGGGGCAAGATATGGGTACTCTTTGCCCATTCTGCCGACAAGAATGCCGCCCAGCGCAGGTCCAGTAATGCTGCCGAGGGAGTAGATGACAGGCAGATATGTGAAAGCGCGGCTTTGGTTAGAACGATCCGTAACCTCTCCCAGAACTGTCGGAACGCATGCGGCATTTCCGTTGAGAAGTCCCATCGCAACATGGACGACAACAATCTGCCAATACTCCTTGCAGAAGCCAAAGGCACAGAAACACCCCATCAAAGCGGCGGTGCCCATGATCAGAACCGGCTTTCGTCCAATAACATCCGAGGCATATCCCCAGAGGAAGTTGGTCGACAGCTGCGCCAATGCGAAAGAACTCGCAAGTATTCCAACATATAAACCGGCCTCGTCGTCAGGAATACCAGGCATATTGAGTACCATCTCAGGCAAATATGGAGATATCGAGTTCAGCGCGGTCTGCTCCGCAAGGGAGAGAAATGCCAACAGCAGCAACTGTCGCACAGGCAAAGGCGTTTCTTCGTGATCATCGTCATCTTCAGAATCGCTTCCATTCGACGTGGCATACGGCTGTTCGAGGGGAGTTTTCGGCGGAGTGGTAGGAAAGGTCTGGTATCGATGAGACTGTCGTCGCAGGGAGCTGAGGGTAGGGATCGGCGCGCCAGCGTGGAATGAACCAGACGAAGTTGTTCGATTGACAGCCATAGCTCGCATGGCAGCGGCGTTCGACGAGGTACTTCGTGAGGGCGCCATAGTGAGTGATTCGTGCAGTCCAAAGGCCTCTTCAGACCTTGGGAAAGCTTGTAGAGGATGATCACCTCAAAGCTTTGGGGGATCGAGAGAGTGGTGACGTAGGGCGTGGGTAGCGGATCTGGAGAGATTTATTTGTGGCGGGGCTGACTTGACACGAGCTAAGATGAGAACCAGGCTCCAGCTTGGCATTTGCTGTTCAAGATGCTTGTCCAAAATGATCGACCGAGCTTCAATTGAGGTGAGACATCAAGATTGGATTGCTTGCAGTTGATTCATGGCCCGAATGTCGGCCGATCGGTCTTTTCTGGGCAGGTGCAGGAAGAAAAAACGCAGGTGATTGTTGTTCCTGCCCTCGTGAGCCTGTCGCAAGGTACGATCGCTGATGTAATTATGGGGCGATTGACGCTCAGCACCCAATGAGATGTGACCGTTGACGATGCACCGGGCGGCTTACTCCGGTGAAACTCAATGGAAAAGAAGCTTACCCAGGTTTGTGATCGTTGAAAATCGTTCTGTTGTTGAAGGTTTCGATCGAGATCTTGAGTGCACGTGCTTACATGCCATTTGGGGAACGTGAATTATGATGCAATTTGGTGAGATATGCGGATGGGATCGATCAAACGCCTGGATGCCTACCCTGTACGAGTATAAGATGAAATGACAAGCTTTCAAGCTCCAAGTTCCTGCAGAATTGCACAGCGGACAGACCGGTAATCTGTCAAGTCCCAGGAGGAACTATCTCCCATCTTTGACATAAGAGGTCTCGACGCGGAAGAATGTCACCATGGCGATATGTTGCTGGCCACCAAGCGTTTTGAAGGTAAGGTTTGATGTTGGTCATACCGACCTTGCATTATAACAGCCGAACCTTAGCGAGACTGTGAATGACATGGAATGACAATTGGGAACACGGAGGGCTATTTCTCCACCGGTCGTGTCTTTCTAGTTGAAGAGCATTGTTTACGATTGGTGAACCGTGATGAAAGCTGCCTCGCTGTTCCACAACATTCCCGACCGCGTCGTTAATATAGCTCAATTACGTCGCCGTGATCATGAATAAGCGTAATTGGTTTAGTGGTAAAATTCTCCGTTGCCATTCGAGCAGCGTCGGGGAGCCCAGGGTTCGATTCCCTGATTACGCATCCAAACCTCTTCTTTTGATCCTGAGAGGTCCTTGGTCTCTTTTTTGTCGGTATCGTGATGTCATGATCTTGGTGTTTTGTATATTGGTGTTGTGGTAGTGAAGGTGGCTTTTTAGTGGGGCGATGCGTAAGAACAAAATGTCGATTAGCCAATCACCCGTACGATTGTAATCCAAAACCTAGTGACAGTTTCATATCATAGGTTTGTTGAGTAGAGACTGACAAAGCCAAACCGAAATGGTTACTGAATGGCTGTCAGGACCATTTGAGGGCATGCCGTAAGTAGTATCATTTACTAATCGCCGAGAAAGAAGCCTATAATGCAAGGCATTTTCCATCTCAGACATTGGATATGCCTGCATAGCACAGCCTTGTTGTTGGTTTCTGCATACAATACATGATAAAATTACAATCACGATAGAAACGGAACAAAGTTGCTTTCTCCTTGGTGAGAAGCTTCGGTCAGGATTCTTTCCCGAATAAAGCCATATCGAACAGCAACAGCCAAGGCACCCTGCAAGGCGAACCAGGCTTGGACCTGGCACGAATCGATTGGACAACTGTGCAGAACTGGGCCGCACATGCGGTCGCCTTCTGAGTGATGGGTGTCGATGCTGCCTGACTTTTCCTGCGCCCAATCTCAATTTTCATCTGACACCCAACTCTGACTCCTCACTTATCCCAAAAACCCAAAGATCCCTTTACTGGCGACTGGATCAATTGAGTCTTTTCTCGTGCCCATCGAACTCGGAGCGTAGAGAGTGCGCCGCCCGCAATGGCAACCGGTTTGGAGGCCCTTGGCGCTGCCAGTGCAGTTCTTCAATTGATCTCGTTCGCTGGAAGCCTTGTTTCCCTCACCGTTAAGATCTACGATGGGATGCCCACTCCTGAGAACGAGCTCGAGGATTACGCGACGAGAATGCTAGATGCGGCTCAACGGGTCAATTCCCGAACCATACAAGTGCCCAGAGGTCCAGTGAACGACAAGCTCTCAGAAGTCGGCCAGAGATGTATCGATGCAGCTCAAGAGTTGGAAAAGGAAACTCAAAATGTCACTAAGCGATACCAAAAACAAAAAGGCAAGATGTTTAAAGCTGTCTACTCCGCCTTCCGTGCAGACAAGCATAAAGCGAAGATCAATGAGTTGGAAAAGTCCTTGAACATGTGCAAGGAAGTCATGGAAACGGAGCTTCTGTTGAAAATCTGGTAAGTGATTCCGTTGGAACATGTCAAACTCGATAAGCCCTCAAGGAATTGTTATCGAGCGATGCAAGCCTATCGTCCGTGAACTTGACTAGTGCATGCTGATAGCGTGCCGTGAACAGCGACCAGAATACCGCGATAGCACAGCAACAAGGTCAAAGATTCCAGAGCCTAGACAGCGATGTGCAGAACCTTATTCTGCAAGTTGCGGCAGGACATACAAGAATTGAACAAATAGTTTCTAGCGAGGCAAAAGCTACGCGGGATGCCATAAACAGCCACACAACTGAGTTCAAGGCTTTGGCCGTGAAGAATATATCAGATAACCAACGACAACGCCTCCTGAGAAGTCTCAAAACAGAGGAAATCAGAGAGAGATATAACTCTGTGCTGCCGTCATCAGACGCTTGTTTCGAAAGGGTCTTTGCTTCATATGAACGTGTTTGTCGTAAAGACCCTGGGTACAAAGCCTGGAACAAGAACGAACGAGATTTTGGTGAGGATAGCAACGAGGAAAGCGACGAGGACAGCGACGAGGACAGCGACGAAGAAAGATTTAAAGAGGAAGTTGACGAAATTGATCTGATATGGGAGCTGTTCAGCTCCTGGCTGCAGTCGGACGACAAGTTATTCTGGATTCGTGGCAAGCCAGGGTCAGGGAAAAGTACATTGATCAAATTCGTTATCAACAACGACAGCACAACACGTTTACTTGGCTCTTGGTACTCAAACACTAGACTTCTGTCGCATTTCTTCTGGAAGATCGGCAGTGAACCTCAAAACAGCATCAAAGGCCTTCTGTGTTCCTTGCTTCACGACCTCCTATCAGAAGATGACGATGCCATCGACAAAGTATTGAGGGAGTTCAAATTCTCCCAATCAAAAGACTTTTACAAGGAATGGTCATCACAAGAAGCCGAGGAAGTCCTATTGTCCCTTTTAGATGCTGGTGCTCATTCAGCCTGCATTTTTATCGATGGTCTTGACGAGATATCGAACAAGGATGGATACCAGGCACTCCTCAGTGTCATTCAAAGACTCACGGCATGTCAGCGAGTAAAAGTCTGTGTATCAAGCCGGCCCGAGACAGAGTTAGTTAAAAGGCTTGAAATTATTGGAGCGCAGAACCTACGACTAGACGATCTCACCAAACCGGAGATGACCATGTATCTACGCAAAGAATTCCACACATTGCCACGAGATCAGTCAGCTGGCTTGCCGCTTGAGGAGTTCACAGCGACTCTTTTGGACAAAGCGCAGGGGGTCTTCCTCTGGCTCGCCCTTGCTACAAAAAGCGTCACTAATGGAATCATGAACGGCGATGATCAAGAAACCCTTTCCCAGAGGCTCCAAGAACTCCCAGAGGAGCTCGAGTCTCTTTATCAGACAATGTGGGAAAGACTCAATGGGAATAACCGAGTATACCGCGAGACCGCTGCGAAATATTTCCGCTTCATCATCGCCGACGGTTGGTACACGAAACTGAAGAAAAAGGGCGGATACATCCACCATATTAGAGAAACCAATCTGGCCCAGCTATCACTGGCAATAAAGGTCGAAGACCGTCTAGTCTTCCCGCCTAAAGCTAATAAGAAGACACTATTTGAGTTGCATGACTTATGCGCTGCCACGGAAAGAGATATCCAGACTCGATGCGCTGGAATGCTACAAGTTGGTCGACAAGCTGATATTCCGGAAAAGGAGCTCCCTGACGCGATCTATCCACTTATACGACCAGTCCAGTTCGTTCATCGCACAGCTCACGACTTCCTGGTTGACACGGAAGCTGGTCAATCCATTGTGAATTACAAGTCAAATGAGACAACATCAATCGACACAGAAATAAAACTGCTTCAATGCCGAATCAATTTGGCGAACACGTACTACCATGATCTCGGAGTCGTAACATATTGCGTTGAAGCTATGGCTGACTGCAATCGACTGAAAAACAAGGGAGCAAATCCAAATATCATGTTGGAGATACTTAAAATAATGGAGGACCTTTATGGAAATGGTGCTCTGGATGGTCGCTTAGGGCTGCGGCGGCCTAATCAATCCTTTCCATGTGTCGCAGCATATCATCTTACCAGCTTCGAGGATTTTGTCATTTCATGTTTTATGCGGACTCCCTCACAGGAGCTTGCTACCAACAGCCTTCACGAGCTGGCACTTGGAACTGGATTCTCGAAATGGACCCCTACACTAATAAGGATAATCCGAAGGATGATTGAATTCGGTGGAGAGGCGCATGTCGCTAAAAGGTCCGATCTGTCGTTCGAGCTGCCAGGGTACGAAATGCCCACAACACAGTACACTACAGCTTTCGAGTCGTTTCTTTCTGGCGCATTGAAACTGTCCCTGTTATTGGAAGGTGATGGCATGCTAAAATCGGCTTATGCTAGCATGCTAATATTGTTTCTTGACGTGATCGAAATTCTGGTACAGACGTGCCCGGGTTTACATAGAAGGGTCATCTTATTCCTTGACGAATTCGGTTGTGTTTGGTCTAAACAACTTCCTAGTAATTACAATCACATGTGGGCCGCGTTGGAGGTTGATCTGCAATTTCTGATAAGCCGGTTAACGGCTGTAGCGGACTCATGGAACATACTAACTGAGTCTTGTATGATCCATGATCTTGCAGCTTCTTTCACGAAGCCTTATGCACGTGTTCGGCATATTGGGCTAGAAGAAGAAGATCAGATCTATTGTTATCGAGTCCTTGATCAGAAACCCTTCCTGGACACCATTGGGCGCATTGGGGCTGGCAAAAATTTATTTCATGTCATTCCTAAAGTTCTGGGCGCTATTAATGGTCTGATGAATGGCTCTATTCCCTCAGAGTCCAATGTTTCATTGGAGACTTTTGAAAAGGTGGATCTCGGGGAAGAGATAGATATGCTAGTACAAGAGGGGGTAGGGCTACACAGAGACGAGGGCTTAGATGTTGATTGATGTTCTTCATTTCGATATGGACGCACCGCAGTCTATTGGACAATTTCCTCCTTCATGTCACTGTATCTTCAACAATTCCTTCTATCTATCAGAATGCTCAATGCTTCTATCAATACTCTGACCAACAAGCTAACGGTATGAGATATATTAACTATTTTGCTGTTGCGAGATCCGACTAATAAAGCAAAGCCTTGGCAAAACAGTAAGCCTCAATATCTCAGAATCGACAGCTTCTCGCTGTGGGTTTGGCAGACCATGCCACCGACTGCATGTTATCAGTTGAGGTTTGTAGTCAGTGAGACTCTTCGCCCTGGACTTATAGCACCAAGACGAAACTGAATAGGGAGTACATACATACTATCATGGACGGACAGCTGTCTACCACAGGGATCAGAATTGTCTAGCTATCATGTTCATATAGCATCAGCAGCTATCCAGCCCAATACTTCTAAGCCGATTTAATTAAGCTATATAGGCTTAAGGGTCAACGAACATGGATTTTTTGCTGTAAAGTTAAAGCTATAATAGAGGGACTAAAAGTAGTCTTTTTATTCCTTAAGGAATATATTTAAAGTTTTCTTATACATATTAAATTTAATTAAATAATAAGCTAAAAAGCTTATTTTAAGCCATCATATAAACAATTAATATACTACTTTAAATATATTTTTAAGAATATTATTTTAAGTTAATGGACCTAATAGCTAATACTTATATTATATGCCTTACCTTATTAAATAATAACCTATATAAGTCCGTCTAATGGAATACAAGTTTAGAAGATTCTTTATATTATATAAAGAGTTTATATAATTTAATCCTAAGTCCTTACCTAAACCCCATCATAATGACCGTAGACTTACAGCAAATTAGACATCGGACTTTGGTCTTAAGTACGTCTTCTAGGAGTAAGTTACCAAAGTAAAGCTGCAGGCATCTCTTCGAAGTAAACAAGGGACAAAACTATAAACTTGTCACAGATGTTTTTAGTCTGTATTAATACCATGACCAACTAGGTGCACAGCTACCTTAATATCTCAGTTTTCATCTAACAATAAAATACACAAGAATTCGACAAAACCTCCCAAACAAACCCCTCTAATATTTCACCTTACTCCAAAGTCAACATACTCTCCGGCATAATATCTGGATCCCCTATCTGATGCACAATCGACAAAAACTCCTCCGACGAAATCCCAATATTATCAAGAAACTCCATATCACTCGTCATAGGATTCTGCACACAATTCATCGGAACTTCCATACCCAGTGTCTCCTGAGCAAGAAGTCGTTGTTGCTCCTCATCAGCCTTTCTCGCTAAATCTTCATCTGTTACTGCGAGGGATAAGGTCTGAAGACCTTGTTGTTGGACTTGAGCTACGAGTTCCTGACATTGAGTTTCGAGGTAGACTAGTTCTTGTTTTCGAACGGATGCGAGGCGGTTTCCCCGGGCGATCATGTTGTCGAGGAGTTGGTGGATGAGTTGGCGGCAGCCTTGGTCGTCTGCTACGCCGGGGAAGAGGGCGGTTGCCATGTTTAGATGGAGTGCGGCGCCGAAGGTGAATTCGAGATCGTAGGGGAGGAAGACCTCTGTGAGGTGTTAGTGGAAGTTGAGGAGGGGTAGGGGGTGCGTACCGAGGAGGCTGTACTCGCTTGTGAGGATTTGTAGTGTTTTTACAGCTGATTTTATACCGGTTGAGATAACGGCTGCTGTTTGACCGAGGAATGCCTCTGAGTTTTCATCGCCTGGCTGGCCGAGAATGTCGAGACGTTCTTTGAGGACCGAGAGTAGGAGAGGTCTTGTGGCGACTATGACGCACTGGGACTGTTAAACTTGTCGTTGGGAAGGGAACGGGGGACTTACTTGGTGGTAGAGAAGGGTTATGTACTTTGTTCCTCGGGGCATGGTATCAACGGAATTTTTGAATTTCAGGGATATGATCCTTTCAATCTCTTGAGCGTGATGAGCAAGCGTGTGGAGGATTGCCTTGGTTTGCTCGAGGAACTGGTCAAGTGGTGTTTTCTCTGGCTTATAAAGTGCTTGAAAGGTCAGAGGTTGATGGGGATTCTTTGGGACTGAAACTTACTGGTCAATATCACGGACAGCAGATGAGACAGGTTCACTTGAAGACTGCGGGCGCTATCATCTTGTGACCCAACGTTTGGTGGGTTAACTGGTGTAGAAATGTCACTATCCTGAACAGACATAGGAAGCCCAAGAGATGATGAAAAGTGTCGATCCATGATGTACAACGTCCACCATAGGTCACGACATGATGTGACTGTCTCACTCCCGAGCTCACTATCAGGTAACTGCGTATGCAGACCCTCCAACTGAGCAATTCGAATAGCCTGGCCAAGCTATATATCCGTCAGTCATGAAACAAAAGGTGCTTCAGAAAACCTACATATACGTGAGCAGACTCCCTCTCATCAATCGAATACAAATACAAGCCAACCATGGCCAAAACTTCAATCGCAAATAAGCTATCCTTCCAAAGAGCCGTATGATCCGGCATGAGACCCATCGCACGCACAAAGAACTTTGCACCAGGGGGTTCCTTGGATGGGAGAGGCTGGGATGAGAGAAAGGCTGTTCCAAAGGCTAGAATCAAGAGAAACTTGACATACCAGAGGCGGTTCTCCTCTGCCTTGTTCTGCGCATCAGAATAGAAATCACGGATCTGGTTCACGAATTCTACCTCGTCGAAAAGACGGTAGGTCTGGCCCAGGTGGAATTTGAAGGTGTGGAAGAGATAGATTGCGTAGTCGAGGGAGGGTAGGCCTGAGACGTCGGCCTTGTCGAGTTGGGTCCAGGAGAGCTTGTAGACGTCCTCTTCGATTAGTTGGGGGGGTATGTTGAGGCCGCCTGGTTGGAGTTTATCACCGAGCATAAGCATCAGTCGTAGAGTGAAAGACCACGTTGACCAAGGCGCCAGCCATACTGTTACAGAAGTCAGAAAGTTTCACATAAACCAGTCTGTACACTCACTCCATGTGCGCCTATTCTTGCGAGTGTTCTTGATGATCTTGGAGGGTATTGTAAAGGCACTCGGCCATATAGTCAACGGCGACTCGCCGGTTTGTTGCGAGTAGGAAGAAGTAGCTGGATCTTTGATGGAAGGGTCAGATTGTTGTTGGGAGCCTACCGTCAGCGCAGGAGAAGCAAGACTGGTATCAATTCCGCACTCACCATTAACATCGTTTCCAAAAGCAGCATCGTTAGTGCGCTTTAATCTAGGAGAGTAGTTGTCTCCAACTTGAGATGATGGTATTGGTGGCGAACAATATGAGGGGTGAGAGTTTTGAGAATGGACGGATGCTGCGTCCATTGATGAGCGGTATGGAGGCGGTGCTGAGGCCGTGGGAGGCGAGCGGTATGTAAATGTTGTATCTACTTGACCTGCATTGTCGAAGATGTTATTTGACGGTGAGCGTTGTTGTTGTTCTACTCGTTTTTGAAGATCTTGGAGATATCTTGGGATGTCAGTGAGAGTTGAGATAAGGACACCTGGTGACGAACTTTTCTGATACCATCACCTTTGCTCCTCCATCTGTGAAGCGACATTGTATAGAGCGTCGCTGACAATTCTGACACGGATCATCGCCAGAGCATTTGATCTTACTCTGTCTACAAGCAACGCAGCTATGACGCCGTCAGCCAAGAACATACCAAACCAGTCTCAGCCACCAAACGAGAGGGGTATAGATAAAGCTTAAAGCGGTGACATGACATACGCATTAGCTGTTCTTCTTGTCTTGCGAGGCTCCTTCTGCGCGTCTGATGCCATTTCGGCAGGATATCTTACGATGCGTAGAAGAACTTTGTGGTCATGGAAGCTCAAAAGCAACAAGTTTTTTGGCTGCAGCGTGTCTTGGGTTCCCCTGCAGTTGGGTGTGAGTGCCACTGACCCTAGCACCCCCGCACAAATGCCGATCAAGTGATTGGGCTTTGACGTGGCCGTTACCGGGGGAAAATGGGGGGACACTCGATGAACTACCGGACTTGGTATGATGCATATTGAAATCTTGGGCTAATGTTACTATTTGAAACATTCTAGAAGGATTTCTACACTACTCATCATATCTGGACTTATAATGAATTGACTTTGTGATGCTCTGTGAGAAAAGAGGTCGTTTTCTTGGCTGACGGTGGATGCAGCAGTTAGACAGCCATGTATCTCCAATTACAAACGTGACCGGCCCTCGCTCGCTGGAATGCCGTGGCTAGATAAGCCAACTTTTCCCCTTGCAACGTCAGTGACCAACACAGTATCGATCCCCACAATAAGATGAAGAATGCACTATATCCCATTGGCCAGTGAACAAAGAGTTTGGACATGGCGTCTGGCCACGGGATCAGTGGTCCCAATGAGGAAATAATTCTTCATATCGCACATTAGACCAGCGATAAAGCAATTGTTGGAGAAGCGAGGTCGGCGTCATACATGACGGGCTTCTTTTACTCCTCACTTATCATGTTTATGTTGGAATGACTGATGTGAGATTGCAGGGATCGGGAAGTATGCCCTTCCGATTGGTGAGTGAGCGATATAATTACTCTTTTGGAAATATTTAGCGGTGCTAGTGTTGTTGGTGTTGATAACGGTATGTTTGAGATATCGATGTTTGGGCCAATCGTTTGATATGGATTTGTATCATGGATGATAACGAATTTGCTGCAAAACGAAAGGGTTGGTAAGACGATTTGCACCAGTCATTACTGGCTTATGCAATCCAAGCCCAAGCCTTATGATAATGATAACCAAGCATGACGGTTTGGAGAAGATATATCGACGGCTCTTGTTCTGGACTTTCATTACAGATCAGTATTCGCAACTCAAGTATGTCTTCATTCGACAAAGACCTTTTCTTCCTATGAATATCATTTAAGTAGCATATCATTTCTTAATAGTGACGATCCAGGAGACTATCAGTGAATCTAGACCGGATGCTCATCCGACTTGATCCCCGTGCCCCCTCCACGAAAGCAGTTCTCCATGACCCGCAGATACCCCAACCGTGCACATACCCTTCTGGAAGCTATCCATGTCAATACGGCCAGATGAAGCAGTCTCAGCCGGCATGGAACGCTGAAGAAAATCCGGGAGTTAGTGTAAGCGATGTGATCCCCACGGTGGGGTAGAACAGACTTCAGTCTCGGGTTGGGCATCCGAACATAAGATCATGGGGTCTGGTGTGTAGCTCACTGTGCCTCTAGCATTTTCAATGGGAAGACACTTGCAATGGGGAATAAGTTGTATTTGAGAGCACTATAGATCTCGCCCAGCACCGTAACGCTTTCAGTGCTGACCGTAGCCATTGAATCACTTGTTGCTGTTCAACCCGAAAAAGCTGTCAAACAAGCACTCTGCTCTTCTCATTTTACACTTGAGATTATTCTGCTGTCACAATGCTAGATCTCCTCATAATCGGCGCCGGCTTCTCAGGTCTTCAAGCCGCAATCACCGCACAAAAAGCCGGTATCTCCGTCTCAATCCTCGAAGCCCGCGACCGCGTCGGTGGTAAATCCTGGACTATCCCTCTCAAAAATGCCAAAGGAAAGGCAGATCTTGGCGCAGCTTGGGTCAATGATGCGCTCCAGCCCATTGTATGGTCTTATATCCAACAGTTTGGCCTGGAGGATCAAATCGTGAAGCAAAGACTTGGTCATACGGCTGTTATGGTTAGTGCGGACGGGGAAAGGATTGAGTTCCCTTTTGGTATTACACCTGATGTAAGTTGTATAATGGGTTGAGGTTAGGGGATGAGTGCTAATGGAGATAGTTTACGCCTGAGGAGAAGAAGAATCTTGAGATGGTGAGAGATCACATCCAAGCTGAATCTTTAAAACCTGATGGCTTCCGGAAAGAAGATGATCAGATTAGTTTAGATCAATATGTCCGTAATCTCGGCGGCGGTCCCAAAACTCTTGAGATGGTTAATCTCTGGGTGAGGGTTATGCACGGTCTCGAATCGACTGAAGAATCAGCAGCTTGGTTTATCGAATACTGCCGTACCAACCACGGTCTTCTAGCTATTCGAGCAGATGATCGCACGGGCGGTAATTACATGCGTATCAAATCTGGTACACAATCTATTGCCAAGGGAATCGCTGATCTTATCGGCCATGAGAACATTCATCTCTCAAACCCCGTTTCTTCAATCGAGCAGACTAAGTCAGGTGTTGTTGTGAGAACTACCACAGGAAAGATTGTCAAGGCTAAGAAACTCATCATCTCGATGCCTTCCGCTATGCTCAAAGGGCTTACCTTCTCACCTCCCCTTCCTCAACGCGCACAGGATGTTTATAACCACACGAAACTGGGACATTATAACAAGGCCATTGTGTTTTATAACAAACCTTGGTGGCGCGATGGTGGCTTTAACGGCTTTTTCATGGACTTCCGTGGACCAGCATGCGTTGTACGCGATACTTCTTTCGACGACGAAGGTATTTACGGTTTCACTTGTTTCGTCAACGGTAAACCCGGTGAAGAATGGAGTAACCAGTCCCCTGAGACTCGACGAAAAGTTATCCTTGATCAACTCGCCTACGCTCTTAATTCACCTAAAGCTTATAACCCACTTGAGTTTATCGAGCAAGTTTGGCAGAATGAGGAATTCAGTCGTGGTGCTCTTGCACCTGTTACAAAGATCGGGCATCTTGCGAAGTATAAGGATATTTATGGAAAACCAGTGGGTGATGTTCATTTTGTGGGGACGGAGTATGCGAGTCATTGGAAGGGTTATCTTGAGGGTGCTTTGACGTCGGGAGATGCTGGGGCGAAGGAGGTTATTGAGGCGTTGAAAGACCAATCTCCACTGGCAAAGTTGTAACGTGGAAAGTTTGGCTGATTCGAGTTTTAGCAGTAATAGTTGAGTATTATTGTATAGAGGAGACTGGTAGATCTATTGTTAATGATGAAGTTTCGTAAGAGGATGTTGGATATGACTGACGGTCAGCTTATCTTCTCAGGAGATTAAATCCAAGTGTATACCTCAAGTAATCTGTGAGGGACAAGCCTTTCATTTCCAGAGTTTCGAAGCTAAGATTTATTTCCCACGGTTCTAGTTCAGCGAGTCACCTGTGACTTGACTGCATGCCAGCAAAGACCGACATGTAAGCCATAGTCAGTATCTATATCTATCTATGACTTCTTTCAACGCTACCTGTGTGTTATGCTAATCAATGTTACACCCTCCCCCATCAACTCTAAGCCATCACCTGTACTACGATCCCTGTACCGCGATAGCCTCCACCTTAATTCCCGTCCTTATCTCATGTAACCTCCTCACCTCAGGTAAGATGAATAGCCTGATGGATTCGCTGTTACGCTCTGGAATGTCAAGTCTCCCAGTCGCCAATTTTAAAAGCAACGTCCTATGAATGAAATTGAATAGCGGACCAGGCATGCTGACCTGAGAAACAAGTAAAACAAGCAGAGCGATGACAGTTCGGTAGTTTCCATCGGTGCTGACACGATCCAGCTGTTTTCTCCCCGTCATAAGTGCTTGAAACTGGTCGAAATATCGTTTGGCGAAACTTCTACGGTCCGCCAACTTCAATCTGGTCGAACAAAGGAATGCTATGGCGGTCATGATGAGCTCGTCGGTTTTCGCGAGGGGAAGGACACGTTCTCGCCATGCGTTCTCGTTGTGAGGTGCTATCTTGGGGATAAGCTTATTCGAAACTTGATGCTGTTAGTGGCTAGAATAAAGATCACATTGGGGAAAGAACTTACACATCCATATGAGGCGTCGTTCCAATGGTGTACGGCGCTCCTAGCCTGGTCCCGAAATCATTGGAACACTGGACAGTATACAGGCGTCAGGACTAGGACGAGGTTGGAAAGGTTCCTGACCTTCACCCTGTATTTGACTCGTACCGTAGACTGTGAGGGAGGGATACGCTGATCATCGGGTTGTCCTTGATTCGCAAGTGGAGATTGTATAACACGAATTTCAATCCCACTGCCTTGTCCACTATTGACAGAGTTATCGTTCTCGCGAGGCTGCTTAGTAGAACGCGGCGGGAGTGGTTTCAACCCAAGCTTTTCGACCCGGTAGTTGAGTCCACTGCATTCTAGGCCGGCTTTAACGCACTTTTGGCATGCTGGCTCTTCTCGAGTGCAGTGAATCCGTCTTAATAAACATTGTTGGCACCCTGGGAACTATTAGTTATGCCCACAATTAAGCTCATGAGGTTTCATACCGACAATCTTGGGAACGTAGGGTCTCTTCTTGCGCGCCATGTCGGTTGAGGGAAAGAACCGTCTGTAGGCACTGGGTGAAAATAAGATGGCGAGTTGAATGAATGACGGGAATTCTGTGTCTGGCGCCTTTTATAAAATGTATCTAAAGAGGAAGCTTTTGAGAGAAGAAACTTTCTTTGTCGATTGGGATTTTACTGGGCGACCAAAAGTCGAGTCGTTTCGAGCCTTGAGAAGGCACCCGAGACCAGGTTTCGTGGTTCCCAAACATTGAGGTGAATGTTGAGCGATCCTTCCCTTCGAAGCAAGGGCCAAAGATATCATCCCGGAGAAGGCACTTGCATTAGATCAAATGCTCTTTGCCGTATGGCCCTGGGCTCTCTTGCATCTCGTCGCAACAGCTCTCCTCAAAGGAAGGCAGTCTATCTCATGGCTAGTCACACCAATGAAAGAGGGAGAGTGATTCACTCTAAATAGAAGCTTTCTGAGGTGCCTTGTAAGTGGTCGATTGAGAGATGTGTAGATGGAAAGTTTGTGTAATTCATTTTCTCGAAGTTAAAAAGTGGGACTCGGTGATGTTGTTGGTGGATTTGGTGTGGCGTGGCAACGTCCTCGCGGGATCGTCAGGACCCTGAAAGTTTAATGCCATTCTAGAAGCTTTGTAGAAGACTTGGAAGTCATGGGGTTTAGTGAAGTGCTTTGGAAGGCAAAGGTCTGGTGCTCTGGGGTGAGTCGCTTTGGGATTATCGCTGCGCGGTTGGTTCAGCAAGAGAGTAAATAATTACATGGGAAACTAAGATACTCCCGTAAATAAACATGCCTTCGCAGACGGCCTCAGCCGCGACTTGTAGAAAGCTGGACCGAAATCTCCATGTCAGGTTAGGTCTGCACCCATGTTAGAATCGGCTTCTGAAGCCGAGATTCTCGATGGCGGCAATTCCTGGGCGACGCATCACGGAGGAAAGCGACGGTAAGAACTTGGACGGGATGGAATCGGCGAGACTTCCCCTCCTTCCCTTTTTGTTCAGCATGTCATCTGCGGTTCTCGGGATCTTCCCCGCATCATGAACTTCCCACAAAACAACAATCTCCAATCGGCTCGTCAACCCGACACCTTCGCATCTCCATCTCGCGCCGAATACCGGGAGATCATCGCATCGCGCCGTATCTGGAGATAGCGATACCTAAGACCGAAGAATCATTCACAATCGCTGTATAACAAGACCCGGCACCGAATACAACCCTCTCTTGACATCAACATCTACGATGTCATCACTCGCCCCAACCCTGAAAGATCCCTCCCTCCTCGTCGAAGGACGAGCCTTCATCAACGGTAAATGGCCTATCTTCGCTTCATCACAGACCTTTCCCGTTTACAACCCCGCGACAAACACCATCATCGGCCCAGCACCTGAATGCACCGTCGACGACGTCAACAGCGCCATCTCCGCAGCATCAGAGGCCTTTCCCCTATGGCGCGCTCAATCAGGCCGTCAGCGCGCAAAGATAATTCGCAAAATCGCAGAGCTACTTGCAGAGCACAAAGCCGACATTGCAAAGATCATCACTGCGGAGAATGGAAAGGCCAAAACTGATGCTGAGGGCGAGGTGATGTTCTCGGCGGGGTTCTTTGAGTGGTTCGCGGAAGAGGCGCCGAGGCTGTATGGTGATGTGGTGCCGCACTCGCAGCCGAATGCGAGGATTCAGGTTATCAAGCAACCCGTTGGCGTTTGTGGTTTGATCACGCCGTGGAATTTCCCTTTGGCGATGGCTGCGAGGAAAGTCGCTGCTGCGCTTGCGGCTGGGTGTGCTGTTGTGCTCAAGACGGATGGCGTGACGCCTTTTTCGGGGAATGTTCTTGGTGTCCTTGCTGAGCGCGCTGGTCTGCCGAAGGGGGTTCTCAATATCGTTACTGCTCTGGATAACACACCGAAACTAGGTGTTGCGCTGTGCGAGTCTGACGTCGTCAAGAAGATCTCCTTCACGGGCTCGACCCGGGTGGGCAAGATCCTGATGAAGCAATCAGCCGATACTCTCAAGAAGCTATCTCTTGAGCTTGGAGGTAACGCACCGTTCATCGTATTTGACGATGCCGACATCGAGACCGCAGTGTCCAGCGCCATCATTGCCAAGTTCAAAGTCACCGGTCAAACATGCGTTTGCGCCAACAGGATCTACGTCCAAGAAGGAATCTATGACCAATTCTCCAAGCGCCTAGTCGAGGAAGTCGGCAAGTTCAAAGTCGGTAACGGTGCCGATGCCTCAGTGACACACGGCCCCATGACGACGAGTGTAGACAAAGTCGAGGAGCATGTCAAAGATGCCCTTAACAAGAAAGCCACGCTTCTTGTCGGCGGCCAGCGACTACCCGATCTCGGAAAGAACTACTTCCAGCCGACAGTTCTGGGTGATGTTGACGATACGATGGCTGTTACATTCGAAGAGACATTCGGACCTCTTGCGGCGTTGACAAAGTTCAAGACAGAAGACGAAGTTATCGCGCGAGCAAACAAGTCCGATGTCGGATTGGCTTCTTACATCATGACAAACAACCTAGCGAGATCGCACCGCGTACAGGAGAGATTGGAGTTTGGCATGGTGGCCATCAACACAGGTGTCATCTCAGATTGGGCTGCTCCGTAAGTACAAACATTTGTTGAGGAGGAAAAACGACTGACTGTTTGTAGATTTGGGGGTGTCAAACACTCTGGTATGGGGCGAGAGGGTAGCAGATATGGTGTTGATGACTACATGGTTCTCAAGACTATTGTCACTGGTGGCATCAATACCGTGTACAACCCAAGGCTGTGAAGAAGCGTCTGAAGCAAACATACCTAGACAAACGACATTGCAACAACAACAGTTCCTTGATCCATCAAGGTTGTTTCCATTGAGTTCCACGTGATGCTTCAGCAGTGAATGGAGTCATTGAGGCTATTGTTGCGATTGTTTGCATGAGCTGCAAACGACAGTGGCAGCGACTGACAGCGTATCAACTCACATGTCTACAAGATCTCATCTTCTTCTTCTCTCTCAACCATCATTTCGTCAATCCTCACATCGACACCGAGAAAGACACCGGCAACATCTTGACATCAGATATGGCTACCGACAAGATGAAGTCGTCGCCTCCAAAGCCTTCATCCCCCATCGCCATCTCCACCGGCCGAACCCGCGCCCGAACCGTCGACCACCTCCCTCAACACCATCCTCCCTCCCATCCTTCAATCCTCCCCCGATCTCGGATCTCTCAAAGTCACGCCAACACCGTCCCTCTCAAACCCGATCCTCCAAAATCCACCAACGTCAAAGACCCTCTTCACAATGTCGACTCTCTGAAACTTCAAGTCATCCGCAACAAGCACGGCCAAACTCTCGGTCTCAAAGTAGTTGACATCAACTCCGTGAAACCTGAACGAGCTAACATTTGTGCTCATCTTCCTATTGGCAAGGAAAACGCCGGTCTTGTGTTTGATGTTGAGAGCGGTGAGGCGATGAAGGAGTTGTACTCCAAAGCGTCGTTGACTATGGCCTCGGGGAGGATTATGGGAATCTTGTTTGCGCCGCCGGGGGCTGATGCTGGGGGTATTGCTAGGGATGCAGATTGGTCGTTTTTGGACGATGAGATTGAGGGGGGAGATGAGAAGGACGGGGATGGGGAGGAGGCTGATATACAGATTCCAATTTTGCTGAGGGACCTTGATCTTGATGATTGAGCACTGGCTATGGTGAATGATTTGGACGGATGACAAGATCGCTGGCGATAACAGAGGATACGGTTGCTTGTCTTGGAGGGAACATACCCAAGAATAGCTGTTTGATACAGATCAGTCTCTGCGTTGGAGCAGGAATAAAGAACACCGGTTGCTTTACACGTCTTTCCCTCCCTTTCGTCGATGTCACTTTGGTGGTTTCTTCGTCATCCTCCCCATTCCGATATGCGATCATCGTCTGTCTCGTCCCGTTCTCACTGCTTCTCCGGCCATTTTCAAGATCATCGCCATCAAGTCCCCATTCATCTTTTCTGTGTGCCTCTTCTAATTCCATGCCATCCATCAGTGGTATGCCCTGTGTCTCATCCCGCCGTCGTCTAAGTGTTGTCTTGCCCTGGCGTTCTGTCAATCGCACCTCCCTCGTATCGTCAAACGAGCAGGTATTGCACTCCGACTTGAGGTAGCTTTTTCTCATCATGATCACAAAAGTTGTACTGCTCTTGAACTTGTTGGTGATCAAAGTTCAATCCAATATCTGCTGGAAGATAACGTCTCTCTAACTTCGCTTCATCATACGGTTTGATTGTCCGTATCCTGAAACGAACGACCATGAACTTCACATATGGCTTGATCATTCACGATGTATCGCTCCTTCCACAGCACAAGCCCTTATACGACCAGTTTCTCTCGGCAACACAGTCCATGAGCCCGGCAATTCTCTTCCTCTTCAACATCTTCTTCATCAACAACAGCATCACCATCATCATCAGAACACGCAGCAGACATATCAAGTCCAAGACATCACCACTTCACATCATGACACCACCAACAAAGCCAGATACTCCACCACCAGATGTGCCACCACCAGCCAATCCAGATACCCCCACTTCGTCCAGCACCTTTGTAGGAACCACCGTCGGCACACGTCCAGACCACGTCGCATGGAAATGCCGCAAGAGTCATTTTTGCAATATCATCAACCCCTTGACAGATGGCCGGTGTGCTACATGCCGGAAGGAACGACAAGTTCCCGCCGACGCTCTCAACAGCGACAATAAACAGATCGGTTGGCTGCAAGCGGTGGACCCGCGCGGCAACGAGAAGTGGTGTTACTTCGATAGTGATACTCTAGATCAGATACGCCAAGGAACCTTGCCGGCGGATTTTCTCTCGGACAGCCCTCCTGTGTCTTGGGGGGCTAGTGGTAGTTCTGGCAGTGCCGCTAGAAGCAGTAGGGAGGGGAAGAGGGCAAGGACTGGTGACGGGTTTGAAGTCAGTCATATGGAAAGGCCGGTTCCTAATGTGGTGAATAAGGAGGTCGATGACATGGATCTTGAAGATCCTGCTAAACAGCCGGAGGACGATGATGGAACAAATGAGAGCAGTGCGAAGAATGGGAGTGGTAGCAAGACGGAGGGTCAGTAACTGGGGATATGGTTAGCAAGGTCATCGCTTCACAATAGAGGAAACACAGAAAAGGAGTTTCGACCTGATTTGGTCTCTCCCTTGATTTAATTACTTACGGTCTTGCCTTCTCGTTATCGATTGTGCTTTCAACTTGTGCAGGTTCTCAAGTTCGTGACCAGACACTGGCCTGGGGGCATGCATCAACGACTCCGGTAACGAGGACCAGGTCAAGGATAGCGCCTCTTGCATAGCATGAAGTACGCGGCATGCAAATTCGAGCTCGCAAATACGTTTGACTGTTTGGCAGACTTGCGAATGTGCATAGTAAAGGAGGTAACACTTGGAGGCAGAATGGGTGGTTGAAGGGCTTCCACTTCTGATTGTGAATACGGGGAGTTGCTGAATGAGAGGTGTGATGAGGTGACTATACATCGATGATTGGAATACTGTCATGGCAGTGATTTGGGCATTCTCACTCTGTGATTAAGATCTCACGAGGGACCGCTTGCAGCCAACGTGTTTAAGTAGTGAGCCTTGTCGCTGGTCATGACCACTTGTTCAACAAACCAGCGCACAGCAACACAATCACCACCAACCTCTTCACAACAATTATACCATAAACAATGTCTTCTACAACAAGAAACACTGAGAACATTTACGTCAGAACTAAAGAAGCTGACGACTTCATCCCGAGAAACGCTGCCTGGACATGCAAATGGGGACCCATCGAGCACCAATGCGGGCACATAAATGATGATATAACGAACAAGAATTGTTCCAAATGCGGTTTTATGCGCTCTGCTGCGATTGCCCACGTCGGAGAGAGTCTTGACAAGGGAGTAAAGGGGAGGTGTTGGGCAATTGCTGACATCAAGGACGATGGGACTGAAGTCTGGACGTATAACTTTGAGTGGCGTAATCACTGTATTATGTGCTAGATGTGCTTTTTGGAGTGGAGAGGTGTGACTGGAAGATTTAATCACCTGGAGAATAAGGAATAGGATGGCCGTAGGAAGATTTTATAGTTAATGAGGGAAAGACTGCGTTGTTTCAACGAACTTGGCTTCTTGGCTTCCTTTCTGTGACGAGGTAAGCTCTCGCTTTAAAGGCATTGTGTCTTTCAGCTGCGTCCGTATAGTATTGAGCTAATATATTATATAAGTAAATTTAATTAATTTCAAGCTACCACCGGTGTCTTTGAGAAAATGCCAGCTCTGACTGTAAATATAGGGAGGAGAGTGGGAAGGTGTAGTGATGGGGTGACTATGCATCAATGACTGCAGTACTGTTACAGCAGTGATTCGAGCATGGCACCTATCTCTGTAATTAACATCTTATGAGGAACCGCCTGCAGCCATGTATAACTTGAGAGTCTTTCCCATTTGCCATGGCCACTTCTCCAAGAACAGAGCTCTCAGCAATACAGACACGAACAATCTCTCTACACCACTACTATACCTACACTCTTACAACATGGCTTCTACAGAACCGACTTCAGAATCAACTACAAAAGAACCTACTAAGGAATTTTATATCGAAACGATAGAAGGTGGCAAATACCGCGACTTCATCCCTATGAACGCTATATGGACATGCTCCTTTGGACCACTGCATCCCTACAGCGCCCGATGCGGACAAAGGAATGAGGACATAACGAACAAGATTTGTTCCAAGTGTGGTAAAGAACGTAGCTTCGGTGCAACGGCCGACCTAGGACAGAAGACATCCTCGCGTGGGAAACGAGGAAAGTTTTGGTTTCTTGCTGGCCACGATGACGATGGCAGTGAGCTCTGGACAGATAATTTCATTTTGGACTGAACAGAGGAGAGAGAAACATCAGGTTGGTTTTATGGAGGAAGTGTTATAAACCTTTTTGAAAGAACTCTTTAATTACTTGAGATAAATTGACTGGTTTTGACGAAATGGGATTGTTTGCTTCCTATCTGTCACGCTGTGACCTCGCGCTCAGAAGACACTATGTCTTTCAGGTGCGCCCATGCCCCGTCAAACCAATTCATTGGCTGAACCTATGCAATCAATCACAGGTTGTCTTCGGTATCTCCGAGAACCTGGTCAGTACACTGACTCAGGTCGTGGACAGAACAGTGGACGCTTCTTTGTCGTTCACACACTGCAGGTTGTCGTGATACACTGAACAAAGGACGCCGAACAACTGCACAAAATGATTCAATATGATTGATGGTGAACAAATTGCTTGTAATAACTCTTCACTCACGTATATAAGTCGCAGGCTTTCCCAGCTTGTTGCACAGGACATCAAACCCGCGACAAAGTCACACAAACCTATCAACATACAACAATATTATTCACCTTTAGTCAAAATGGCTATACCTACTGAGAACAATATCGCCTATTGGTTCTGCATGAGCCCAAGCTGCACACAAATGAACAACATTGGCGATGAGAACTGTAAAAAGTGCCACGCTGAACTTGCTCAGGGAGCAGCTGCTTTGAGTGGTGGCATCGACAAGATTGGGGACTGTGTGGGAAAGGATTCATATGGTGATCCAGTCTGGGAATTCCATGAGCCTGAGACTATGGATTTTACGGAGGCGAGGGCTAGCACTACCTATGTCCAGGGTTGATGGATGAGCGTCCATGGTGATTAGGGAATACAATCACGTTTGATCCGTATCTTTAGCGATTACCATAATGTTTGATCGGAATTCTTTATACTAGCTATTCTTCTCGTGAATGTCTACTAATTGAGTATCGTGCGTTAAACAAACAGGACTCCGTGATGGTGAACATGGATCCTGCATCAGGCCGTGACTTGCTTGAACAACGCCTCTTCCCATGACGTTCAGTCCAAGGTTTAAGTTAACAAACATAACATCCTCTAAACAATGGCCATGTTCAAATCTATTTCCAGTGGCATCTTCCTGGCTCGTGGCATGGCCATTTGCGATGTCTCTTCATCAGTCTGAAGAAATCCCACAATCGCACGAAGAGTCTTCCCGGCAAGCTTGGCAGCATCTTGAAGATGCCCGACTACAAACCACCATGCGGATAAAGTATGATATCTGCTGTAAGTGCTACACTACGCATGGAGTAAATTCCCTTGCCCTGGCTAAGGAGTGACTTTTGATGGGGAAGATGATTGGTAAGGGAAAGAGATTTGGGAGGGAGTGTCATGAGCCAGTCTAGACCTGATGGTAAGACGTCTATGAACCAGGTAAATGCCTGGATACTACTGCGTAGTGTATATTTGCTCTGTGATGAGTGCATGAGTCCATGTCGTGGCAGCGATGCAGTCCACTTCGGGTCTGGCTGGCTCAGAATGGTAGAATTCTGCTTCACAGCCCAATGGACAGTCTCATGCATTCAGCGCTATAGTGTTTTCCTTAACCACTGCCTTCCTCACTATATGGCCTCCAAGCTGAATCAATCTCTTTACTTACCGAGTGACTGAATGTAACTGCCCATTGTTGTTCTGTATAAGTTACCGTCGTTGTACCACCTTATGTCGAAGCAATCGGTACTCAGCAACCCGCAAGCAACCAGCAAATACACAACCTTCTCACACTCACTACAACAATTTCGCCATGGCTCCAATCACTGCCGTTCGCGCCGATCATACAAAGTGGCAATGCATGGCCAGAGCCAATGGCGACTTCTGCCCAGTCAACGACATGTTTGAGTATCGCCGAGATAACAGAGGTCGTGTCATCAGAAAGCCAATTCGGACATGTCCTGGATGCAATCAAGTTCGAGGCAAGAAGACTAAGGCCTTGAGGTCAGACTGGAACCAAATCGGAACGCTTGAAGGTTATACTGCCCAAGGTGAAGAAATCTGGGTTTACACTAAGCCGTATGATGTTGATGAACCAGGTCCAATTGTATATAAGACAGTTGAGGAATTCACAAACGGTGATGTCGCATATGAGTAGGGGGCTAATGGTTCAACGGCGAATGGGAGTTAGGGGCCAAATACTCAAGTGGAGGAAGCTTGTTGACAGCACGAGACAAGCACAGCCTGAGAAAGAGCTACAATAACGAGATCCGTTTATAGGACATAGCTACAATTCATTTCTATTTGGTCACCTTCCAAATGATAACAACAGCTCGCGGCTATTCGTCGAACTTATCACGAGACATCGTTTACATTTCGTAATGCCACATCTCGACATTATCTATGTCAACACTCCCAAGAACTCCAAGTTTATGCCCCTCTCGAGTCATGGCATACGCGAACCTGGGCTCACGAATAGCAGCGCACTTTCTGCACTGGTTTTCATTCATAGCCATTGTTGTATTGCAGAAACCCCCGTTACGCTCAGGTCTCACGCACTTCCAGTGAGAATGATCATCTCGAAGGGTGGTTGTGCGTTCCATGAGAGGCATTTTGGTTCTAGTGGAGACTTTGATGGCTTCAGAGGCTTGGGTTTTATGGTAACAAGTGTTAGCTGTGCTTGTGCTAGATGGTATAAGAGTCAGTATTGGGTATTGAGAATAGAAAAGCCAAGAAAGTAATGTAACTGAGTTTATCATGCTATAGATGGAGCCCTCCTGAATCGAAGCTCAACTTTAAGTAGTGAGACACTGTAAAAGCTGTAAATCCGCCGTGTATCATAGTACAAAACTTCGGACTAAATGTAATCCCACGTCTCTTCACCTTTAGAATCCACCACGACAAGAGTTCCAAGCTTGGTGCCAGCAGCATTAAGAGCCTCTGCATTTCTAGCTTCGCGTTTGCAACCGCAGATACTGCACTTCTTTGTATAAATTGACATTGTGGTATTACAGTTGTTGCTGGGCATCAGGAACTTTGTGCACTTCCATTGAGTATGGTCAGCACGGCGTGTAGTAGTGCGGGCCATTATTGAAGTTGTGTATGTAGTTAACTTATTTTAGCGTTAATTCATCTGAGATTTATGATGCTTATACTGGTGACTTTGAGAGTGCAGAAGGAGAGCGTGTTCTCAGCGGTTTATATAAAGTCTGCATAGATCTGAATCATGACCCCGAGCTTGAGGATATCACGACATACCAACCACGTGTTTCATACCAAACCTCCACTGAACTATGAGGTCCCATTCGTCGTTATACTATAATACCACATCTCCCTGCCCTCTGTATCAATGGAAGCAAGCACCCCCAGCATATCATCATTACTCGCCAGGGCAACCGAGCGAATTCCACGGTCTATGCCACAAACACTGCACGTCTTCTCGGCCATGGGATTCTTTGTATCGCCGATGTTTCCATTGATAAGTTTGCTGCAACGCCAGTGAGTGTGATCACCGCGGACTACGGGTGTAAGTGTATCGAAAGGCATGTTGAGGTGTCTTGTGAGTGAATTTGCACTTTGGTATAGTGATGCTAAGAGGATGTTTGAGGAATATGTTGGGGGAAGAGTGAGAGTGTATTGAGTATAATTTATAGTGTCCTTGTATAATGAATCAGGGGTACCGCATCATGATATCCCCTCCTTTGGACCGACACTCATTAACTACAGCCGTTGGTGTTGAAAACATAGCGCCAAACCGGTTTACCCTCCGAGTCAAAGGAATCCAGAGTCCCAAGCTGAGTGCCATCATGCGTCTCAGCCCACGAGCCCTTTTCACGGCCACTACCGCATTTGGTGCATTGTTCCTGGTTCACCGGAAGTCGAGTATTGCAGTAGGTTCCGTCCGTCTGGTGCATACAGCGCCAGTGAGTGTGGTCGTTGCGGACTTTGGATGTGACTACTACTGAGAAACCAGCCATGATTGTGACGCTTTTGATGTGTATAGCTCAAGAAGTTAAAGTTTGTGTAAGTGTAGTAGAGTGTTTTCTGTGTGAGTTGTTTGGAGTGTGATGATGGCAAGTTAGAGTGAAAGTCACCTGGGAAAGGGAGTTATTATTGCTGGCATTGGTCATGGATCAGGGGTAGTATTCATTGTCAGACAAACATTCTTTCACTGGTCGCGAATATGTTAGGCCCACTTGTACTCATGAATCAGTGAGCTATCGACAATGCTTCACTATTTACCTTACGAGCTGTATTCACTGCCTACGTCTACCCTTACAGCTTACGATTCCTCCCATCCCTTCGCGGCATACAAATCCAATGCTCATTCGCAGCTCTGCTTCGGTTCCGGTAAATAATCCCACCACTCTCTGATTCCCTTCGTGATCTTATCAAGCACACCAAGATGTATGTTATCATCATTCAGCGCAACTGCCCCGACTCTACGAATACACCAGCATTTCTTACAGACTCGTTCGGACATCTTCATAATCTCCCCGCAATAAAGAGGCTCATGCTTTTCGTTATGTCCAAATTTCTCTGTACACTCCCATTTGGTGTGGTCTTTGCGAACGATAGCTGTTCGGCGGCCTAGTTTGCCTGACATGATTGCAGTACGTTAGGGTAACAATTACAAAGAAATGAAGTACGATCTTTGATGAGCTAAGTAACATGGAGAAGAACAAGAGAATAGGAGAAGATTTTTAGAACCAATTTATAATGTCTGTTTACATTGAATCACTGAACACCGGCAAGCTCGATCAGACTCAGTTATGAAAGCCGTTCACTTTGAGATTATAGTGCCATTTCTCTGATCCATCGTCCTCAAAGCCAACAAGGCTTCCCAATTCATCATCGTTCTGAGCTAGGGCAACTGCATTCTTCCCGCGACGCTGTCCACAGTGTGTACAACTGTCGACGTTCATGCTCATATTTGCGTCGCATCTGGTGCGGCCTGGTTCATTGATCATTTTTCGACATTGCCACTTTGTGTGATCGCCGCGGACTTGGGTTGTTGTCTTTTGAACATTCTCGGACATGGTGAGGATGTAAGTGGTGGGTGGTGCTGTAGTGTGGATATGGGTGTGTTGTTGTAAGTGAGTTGGCAGTGGATATTGGGTTTTGGTGTACTGGATGAAGGAGTGGAGGGAAGGGTGAAATTCTGGCTACTATATACATGAGTTCATGCAGGTGGTTGTGCGAACGATTAGTGATTCGCAGATAAGAGTTACACATGTACCAATATGAATCACGTTCAGATCATTCAGTGTCAGCGATTGTTTGTGTCTGCTGCTTAAATGGCCCCGCAGTCTAACAATCACCGAGAAATTACATCTTGCTAGACACAAAATCAGTGAAGTCGCTAAAGAGAGATCGCGTGTTGATACATTAGGTTCTGTGAGTTTTTGAACACATTCCTTGCAGCATTGTCATTATGACACCGAGTTACACTTTTCTGGAACAAATCTTGATCTGTTTATGCATGCGACAGTAATAATATCTTTACATCCCGGAAATGAGGAAGATCTACCTCACTTATAAAACCTAAAAACCCATGTTCGTGATATAGCTCTTCTAAAAGTGAGACTTGAAGAGCTTCTCAATCCGCCCCATGATACTAGTAGAGAGCAATTCTATTGCTTGAAACGAGCCCCCCAGCAAAACATACAATACACAATTTTGCCATAATCACGTTCATAAATCAAGAGACACAATGATCTTAACGCAGGTGAGTCGGAGGCCGCACACAGGATGGCAACCCTGACGCGCCCTCTTGTCGGCGTCGCGGAGAGAGTCGCAGTAGCTGTTTGCATCGATATGAGGCTGGCTTTTAAAGAGCCAGACACAGTTGCCTAACTGATACCAGTGGTTTGAAGCTCTATGTAGCTGTGTCGTGTTGACGTTTGTGAAGTCAAGCGAGGGCTGACGCTTGCTACAAGGATTGGGTTACGCAACGCTTACAACTCATATATACTTGAGCAGAGGTGGCACAGAGAATCATATTTTGAACGATTTCAGTGATAGGTTGAAACAATAGAACTTACAGCAATCGCGGGCTGAGTTGTGACAGTTAAAGTAGCACTGAAGTTCAATATCGGGGTCGTGAGGTATATAGCTAGGGCAAGTAGTCTTCACTTGAGACATGCGCGAGTCTCAGTGTCAGACACCACTCATCTGAAAGTGGGCAATAATAACATTGGAACAACTCAAACACCGGTGCAGTTCCTCATGGTCGTTGGGAGCCTCGGGTATACAACCCACGTGGTATGGATTACGAAGCTCCTAGAACGACTTTAGTTTACGGACAAGATGATATATGATAAATTAGTGTGCACTGAGGTATGCCACGTAAATATTGTTCAATTGAAAATACTGTCGCTATAACAACGTATCGTTATCGAGGGTCGTGGTAGCTTGAGTACCTTGTCCTGATCATTTTCCCTCTCCCATTCCCGCTCCTCCCACACCATTCGGGTTTCACCTCTTGGGATTCCACGACCAGAGTTCTCTATATATCTTGGTAAGTTGTCCAATAACTTTCCCATCCTTATCCAAGGCGGCTGCGCCAGCCTGACGCTCCGTACTGCATTCAGCACACGCCCTATCCTCCATTTTGTTGACACAGTTTGGCCTTTTGGCATTGATACATCGTATGCATCGCCAGTGAGTATGTTCGCTTGTTCGATCCACTTCGTTAGACATGGTGATTGTAGATAATGAGGGAAATGGATGTGTGGTTGTGATGATGTTTGTGTGTTGTTTGCGTGTTTGTGGCTTTGGGAAAATGTACAACGAGCGTCACTTATACCAGTAGGCAATGGGAACTGAACGGCGAATGAATCACAACCAAAGCGATCGTTTCACGCACTCTATCACTGCAGCCTGACATCGAACAGTGACGATGTGCCAGAGAGCTGCATCTCTTCAGCATTGTTTACGGATATCACCTCTGTTCAGAGACAAAGTGACTGACTGATCACGGCCTTCATGTCCAAGTTAACCAGCGACATTGAGTTTATTCTAATTAATTTAAGGGAAAATAACACCCCAATTCACAGGGGAAGATTCATAGCTTGTTGAACCTGCTGGGTCATGACAGCGGTGAAGGACTGAAGAGTGTCAAAAGCTCAACGACATTCAGAGAAGAACAAAGGCTTTACATAGAATATGCCGCCTCTAACTCGTTTTTATGACCCTTAAATGGTTGGTCACAAGTGAAACAGTGATACAAGTAAAGCTCAAGCCTTTCTATTCTTTATCGTCTAAAAGGATAATGTCTAAGATAGACTTTGATGAGCAAATAAGAAGCATTCGTGATCATGAACCATGATCAATCACAATTACTGAAAGCCCGTCTTCAGAATGGCCGATTCCCGACCCCAGAGTGAACAGACGTTGTAGAAGTGTCAATTATAATGCCCCCCTGATTCCCGTTTGTGGTCGCTCCATTAGTTCCAGCTCCGGCGGTTTTGTCTCCATTGGTCCTGTCTCCAGTGGTCCTGTCTCCAATGGTTCTCGCTCCGTCCGTGGTCGCTTCATTTGTCGTTCCTCAATTCGTGGTCGCTTCGTTGGTTGTCGCATCACTCATAGCTGGACCGTTGTTGAGAGCCTAGTCTTCATACTCCCAAACCATCTCACCAGACTGTGCGTCATAGCTGTGGAGCTCCCCGATAATCTGTCTATTTTCATTCACTGCCATTACCCTGATCGAACCATCGATCTTGTAGCCACATAGCCTACATTCCTTCAGATGGACCTCGTTGGAGGTATTGCAAGTCTCACCACCCCCGGTAGGCTTTTGGCAATCCCAGTATTTGTGGTTGGGATGGAGTGTATTTGTTTGACGCATTGTGTAAGATTGAAAGTGAATGATTAATAGGACTGTGCGAGGGTGATGATGTTTGTGAGTCGTGTGTGTAAGCTGTCGTTGTGTGAGAGTTGTTTGAGCTGATGGGTAGGACTTGACCGTACAAGGAGCAGGACTTATACCAATGGAGGCCAGGGAATGATCGATAGGTTCGTCACTGCCATGGTGGTCGATTCACTATCAGCGACTACTTGGCAGTGACACTGGGGCCATAGCGCAGCATCTATTCAGCATTGTGTAAGGTTCTTCTTCAGAGACAGGACATATGAGCATCACAACATTCGGACCTATGAGTGAAACAGGGACTGAGAATGTTGTTCACGGAGCTTTGCAACGCAGTTCCTCTCCAGAAAGCACCATTCAACACAAATACACCCTTTAACTTATATCATTATCAGCAAACATGTCCCGCTATCAATCTACACAATCATGCAGCCCATTAATCCACGTGACCTTACCGTCCGCGTCAACAAGGTCGCCGACAAGTGCACGCCCACTGGAAATGCTTGAAATGCCAAGAAATGAACAAGATGGATCAGAAAGAGTCGCGCCAAGTGCGACAATTCCCATGAGGCCATACTGCGACGCCTATACTGAGGATGAAGTCAAGTTTGGAGAACTCCATCGCATTGAGAATGGGGCTGAGACTTGGCATTACAACTTTGCCCCTGGTGTTCATTCAAAGCATGGCAAGGGGAGGTAAGAAAACTTAGGATTTCTCTTCTAAATAATAAGTTTGCTTAGGTAAACCTAGGATAGATTTAGATTGCTTATCTTTTGGCACCCTGAGCTTAGGGTCAGAAGTTGCTCCCCTAGCCACTACACTATTCGATCCCTCAAGTCACAACACATATTTCCCCGGAGGTTGTCAGTCATGGCCGTCAGTTTGAACAAAAGGCCCTTCATCACCATACTCTAGCTAGTTAATAACAAACATTTGAGAAACAATAGTGCGTTGCAACAGTGAATGTATTCCCACTGGACTAGATATTGTAGGTATTTTGACAATGTGAAGGGACGTATTCAGGTCACCCACAATCTGGTTCTCTGTAACATATTTGTCCTGGTGTGCACTCAGAGCATGAGTGCCTCTATTAGTCAGTTCATTCCTACTCATCTTGAAGGAAAAGGAGAGGGCATGTTGTTCACCAGAGGTTTCATTGATTTGGCAACATGCTTCAGATAAATTAAACAATGACTACTATCTTCTATGCTAATCCGATGTCTCAAGTCTCTTTGCAACGAGACTTGCATCCATGCAACTCTCTTTCAAGGTCTATTCTCTAGTACACGTAACGGAAACTCAAGTTCTCCTTATCCGTAAGATCCTCCCAAGCCTGTCCCGTATAAGTCGAACTAGCCTCCGCAACACCGGACTCAGCCAAAGCATCACGCTTCTTATTCTCACGTCGAAGATACCATCTCAGAGAAATGATAACAATGACAAGAAGACAGTAGCAGCCGAGATGAGTGGCGAAAGCAATGAAGTAGCGGGGTCCGTCGTGGGAGAGGAAGACTTGAGGACCGATCGCGTTGCCGGCTGCCCAGACGATGAAGTTGGTGGCGACTGCGACGGTCTTTTTGGTTTGGCCGGCGATGTTACGCGAGATCATGGAGAGGGCGAGGGTTTGGGCGGACCAGAAAGATAGGGTTATGTAGTATGAGATTAGGAGGCCGATGTGTTGGGCCATGGTCTTGTTGGGGAGGGTCATGAGGAGGATTGTGCCGATGAAGGAACTAAGTTGTCAGTGATGAGCAAGATAAGAGGAGGAATAGACTTACGGAATACAGAAGCCAAGCATGACCAGGAGATTCTGGTTCGTCTTCTTGACAAGCCAAGCCGAAGACAACAGGACGATAACGATGTAAAAACCCAGGACCATCGCCAACAACTGTGTCTCAAGGGTACTGAACCCAAAGCTCTTGATAATAATATTCGCAAAAGCACCGAGACCCGAGGTAGGTAGCGTAGTGCAAAGCGCAATGAGAGCATAACCCCAAACTTGAGGATCTTTGAGACCCTCGATGAACTGCTCTTTCTTGAACGTCTTGTTCTGGATACCAGTCTGGTTGTCACGAACACGCTCAACCATCTCGTGCTTCTCTTGCTCAGTCCAGCATTTGGCTCGCATGGGAGAATCGGGCATCCACCATCCGACGAATACACCGAAGAATACGGAGATGACGCCGTAGGAGAGGAAGAGCCATTGCCAGGATTTGAGGGGGCCGGTTTTGATGAGGGAGAAGCAGTATGCTAGAAGACCGCCGACGATCTGTTGGGCGCCATTCATCATGTACCTTGGAGCGGTTAGTGAGCTGTTTTGTAGAGAGGAGCTGGGATTGAACAAACCAGTAGGTGACTCGGGAGGCTTGCTCCTCACGTCGGTACCAGATGGCTGAGAGGATAACGAAGCATGGCTGGCAGGCTGACTCAAAGATACCTAGCAATGTTCGTACAATGACCAGGCCTTTGAAGTCTTGACAGGCAGCATGACAGGCCAGACAAGCTCCCCAGGCGACGATGCAGAAGGAGAGGTATTTCGCGATGGGAACTCTAGCGATGAGCCAGTTCTGGGGGTATTCGACAACGAGGATAGCGAGGTAAATACATGTCGTAAGCCACGAGAACTGTAGGTCACAATTAGCACACAAACTTCAACAAACCTCCACGAGTTGAGCGGCTTACATGCTGAGACACAGTCCCATCAGGATTCTCCAACCCCGTATCAGCCGTCAACCCCATAATCGAAGCGAACGACAACGTCCCCTTATCAATAGCCTGCAAGAAATACGTAAAGATCATAATGACGAGAACTCTCTTATCAATCATCCTTCGCAGCTCAGCACTACGCTCAGGCGAGATGTTGATACGAACGTCCGAGACATATTGTGCGAGTTCCTTGTCGACTCGTTCAGAATGCTGAGTTGGCTTTTCGAGATCTTCGACTTCGTCGACAGATCTCTTGCGTTGGATTTCTGAAGCCATCTCGATTCGTTAATTGGAAGGAGATTGAGGATGAGATTGACTAAAAGATGTAGAAGGGGGTTGTGTTCCTTTTATGACATACAGGTTGTGGCGGGAATCTGGGGCCCCAGATGTCAACGTTACTTGTGACAATACCCCATATTGCCCCAGTTTCTTACTCCAGTTTAGATTGAGTTTTACTCTTTCTATCTCGTGGGAGTTTTGCCCGAGCGCCGAGTGAAGAACAGGATTATCTACAAGTTACAACTCGGCAACGCGGCATCTTCAGGGTTTGTCACTGGGGATCCGCTCTACGGGATAAATAAGCCCTGGTTAAGGTACGCCAGGGACGGGTAGGATCAGCGTATGGCATGATTGCTGGGTTGGTTGAGGACAGGAGGCTCCTCTATTGACCCGTATGGATTGGACGGTTGCAGGGGAGCAAGATATGCTTCAATCTTTACGTGACTTCTGACCTCCATTCTGAGTGCCAAAATAAACTACTCTAAAGACCCACTAGGTCTATACTAAACTTACCCAAGTCTTTTTGTCACTTGGGATAGAGATCCTAAGTTTAGGTTTTTTGACTCTCTCTCTGTACCTTAGATTGCCTCGATGTGACTTTAGATCCTGCCCGACCTCCAAGTTGAAGAAACATCACCATATCACATCACTTCCAACAAAGCCATCGATCTCTAACTCTCCAACTACCCGTCAAGGCCATATCCAACGGTAATAGTGACGATGCTGTGCCTTACGCCTCAACGTAACAGCCGCATCCGTCCCGTCTCTTGGCGATGAATTTGGAGAATCCAAGCAAGTAAGCGGCTCTTTCGAATTACTCCGCATGTCAGAAATTTTCTCCGTCACTGAAGCAGCATTCGGCAAGGGGAAGCGACAGGCAGCGAAAGAGGAAGACTTCTCCGCTGACCTGGTTTGGCTCAGTGGGGGGAATTAAGGTAGACCCACTGAAGATCCGAGGGTATGCACTAAATCCGCGGTTTATTTAGCGGTAATCCCCTCAACTCACTGAACTTCACTCAACACTATAGCGTTCTGCTCAATTGCCATGATGAATTCCGGTATTAAAACCGCGATAGTACTCCCCCAAACGTCACTACGTAATCACTTCACAAGCTTCAGCTGAATCTTTTCGTCTCTCTGTGCTTTACTGGAAATGGGTGACTACTCCGCCCCCATCTTCAACCCCCAGTTCCAAGCCCCACCCCCACAACCAAAAAGTGCGGAGAGATGAAGCTTCAACCTCATGATAGGCGCCCTCGGTGTACTTCGGACCGAGCATGTGGACTGCCAAGAGAACCATTGGGATACAACGAGGGGTTATGAATACCCTCATTCATCCTCGACCAAATAACTCATCTCTCTTGCAGTGTAACAAGATACCCTGTTCAGTAACAAGATACCCGTTCATTCACCGTCATCATGCCCTCTCACGTACACGACATCGCGTCGCAAGACGTCCACAAACAAATCCAACAGCTCATCCACGAACTCGTCAACATCAAAGACACAACAGGCGAATTCCTCATGACCCTAGCAGACGGCCGCATCATCGACACAAAAGGCTGGAACGACTGGGAGTGGACCCACGGCATCGGTCTCTACGGAATATGGAAGTACTACGAGATGACCGGTGAGGACCAATGGCTCAAGATCATTGAAGATTGGTTCCAAGCTCGTTTCGCAGAGGGCCACAAGGGAAAGAACATCAACACCATGGCAGTATTCCTCACTCTGGCGTATGTCTATGAAAAGACACAGAATCCTACGTATCTTCCTTGGCTGGATGCTTGGGCTGAGTGGGCGATGCATGATCTGCCTAGGACAAAGTATGGTGGTTTTCAGCATATTACGTACCTTGAGGTCAATGAGCAGCAGCTTTGGGATGATACCCTCATGATGACTGTCATGCCGCTTGCCAAGATTGGTCTTGTTCTTAACAGGCCTGAATACGTCGCTGAAGCGAAGAAGCAGTTCTTACTGCATATTCAGTATCTGTTTGATACAAAGACTGGATTGTTCTTCCACGGATGGACGTTTAAGGATGGTGGCCATAACTTTGCTGATGCGAGATGGGCACGCGGTAACAGCTGGGTTACTATCGTGATTCCCGAATTTCTCGAACTCATCGGTATCAAGGAAGATGACCCCATTGGCTCACATCTGATCAACACACTCGATAGCCAATGCGCAGCCCTTGCGAAAACGCAGCGCGCAAACGGTCTATGGAGTACCCTTCTCGACGTCCCTGAATCAGAAGGTTCATACGTCGAGGCCAGTGCGACAGCGGGTTTTGCATATGGTATTCTCAAGGCGGAACGGAAGCGATATATTGGAAAGGAGTACTCTGAGGTAGCTGTCAAGGCGATCAAGGCTGTTTTGGAGAATATTAGTCCTGAGGGAGAGTTGTTGAATACCTCGTTTGGAACGGGGATGGGACATGATTTGCAGCATTATAAGGATATTCCTAGGACGAGTATGCCTTATGGACAAGCTATGGCTATGATGGCTCTGGTAGAGTTTTTGAGGGCGTATAATTAGACGTTGATAATGGAAAAGTAATGGAATTCATCGCATTGACGTGAATTGGTAAATCTGCATTGTGTGATCCATGCTCAAGAGGTGACTAACCAAGCATACAACTGTACTAACCCTCTATGATCAAATGGCCTGGGGTACCATCAGACTTGAATGTACCCGTTGCCCTCAAATTCCTCGAACTCTCTCCAACAGCAATCGTAAACTCTCCATCAGTAACCCTCCAATTCTGCTCCTCCACATCCCAATAGCTCAAATCCCTCCTCGTCAATTCAAACTCGACAGTCTTGCTCTCACCCTTCTTTAAAGCAACTTTCTCAAAACCACGCAGCACGCGAACAGGATGGTCAACCTTTGATGATGCGGGATACGAGAGATACAGCTGAGGAACAGCCTTGCCATCCACAGAGCCTGTGTTCGTGACGACTATGGAGGCAGTGACGACAGTCTTCCAGAGATCAGGATTACCACCTTCTTCACCTCCAGCTGGAGAGGGGGGCTGTTCGATATCGTAGCCATCGGGGTAGGGGTAATCGCCCTTCTTGATGTCATCGGGCGAATCGATGTAGGGATAAATCCACTTCTTCAGTTTGCGAATGTTCTTTGGCCAAAGACCCTCCTTGACATCAGGGATCTTATCATCAAGCTTGGGCGGCTTTGCGCTCGTAGGCGAGGAACGTGAGGCTGGGAGTTGTGCGACTGCCTCCTTCACTGAGACCTTCAAGTCTTTGAACTCAAATGTAGTGTACGACAGTCCATAGCCAAACTCATATCGAAGATCCACGTTGTGTTTGTCGAAGTGGCGATAATCGATGTACAATCCCTCCTTGAAGTCTTGCTGCGGAATGACGCCATTGGGAAGATAAAGGATCTGAGCGCCCTCGCCATAGTCAGGAAGAGCCTTGCCAATCGTATACGGAAGCTTTCCACTGGGACTCTCGTCACCGAACAGAATGCTAGCAATGGCATTGCCACTCTCCTCACCAGGTAAGTTAGCTGTCAACACAGCCTTGATCCTCGGGTGGTTGATCCAGCTCTCCATGACAACAGGCCCAACAGCATGAATAACCACGATAGTCGTGCCAGTTCCACCACCACAGAGGTTCGCGACCTCCATAATCAACGCATCGCCTCCTTTCTGCAAGTTGAGATCATTGCGATCACCTCGGACATTGTTCCAAGACAAATATCCCTCTCCTGCATCAGAGTTGGCGAATACCAAGCAGACATCCTGTTCTGTGACCTTCTTTGGATCTTTGATCTTGTTGGATAGGAATTCGCTGACTTGGACTTTATCCTTCTTGAAGCCTTTTCGCAGCGCCTCAACGGGGGTGACGAGAAATGGGAAATCAGCTGCTCCGCTGCCCCAACCTGAGCCGAGGGTCCCTTCGTTGCAGCCTTGATCGGGGCAATAGTTGAGTCCCTTTCCAGGACCAGCATCGTCGCCGAAAATACCAACCTTGATCTTTTCCTTCTTCTGATCAGCTTGATTGGCCAGGTTGCCTTCACGAGTCAAAGGAAGCACGCCATCGTTCTTGAGCAGAACAGTGCCCTCGATAGCAATCTGACGAGCCAGCTCAGCGTGGTCCTCCTGCACGTTTATGTACTGGTTGACGACCTGCTCCTCTTGAGGCGAAGGACTTCCAGGTGCGAGTTTCCCCTTCTTATCATAAGTCCATGATGAAAAGTTCGGTCCCTTATTCTCATCCTTATCCTGACCAAGCTGATAGAAAGACGCGACAATTCGAAGCGCCATATCGTTGAGTCGATCTACAGGCAACGATCCGTTCAGAACAGCCTGCGTGAGTCGAGGACCCCAAAGAGATTCTCCATCTGCCCACTTGAGTCCATCTCCAGGCATACTCATATCCAGCCCAGCAAGAGCACTTGCAACACCAGATCTCTGCGCCAACCAATCCGACATGACAAAGCCCTGAAAACCCATCTCATCTTTCAGAATGCCATTCAAAAGCTTTGAGTTCTGGCAGGCATATGAGTTATTCACCATATTATACGAGCACATAACACTCGCAACCCCAGCCTTGACAGCGTCTTGGAACGGCCATCCGTAAATCTCATGTAGCGTCCGATCATCAATATTGGAAGAGATGGCATTTGGAAGGCCCCATTCCCACGCCTGACGGAAATGCTCCTGCTCGTTTCCGATAAAGTGCTTTATCGTCGCCATGACTCCAGAATCTTGTATTCCCTTTATCGTCGCAGCACCAGCAACGCCCTGCAGATAAGGATCCGGTCCAAAACCCTCCCAATTTCTTCCACCAGCTGGAGCTCTTCCAAGAGGTCCGATAGCCGGGCCAAGGATGACATTGACGCCTTTACCCTTTGCTTCCTTGCCATGAGCTCTTCCACGCTCATACATTAATTTCTTGTTGAATGTAGCGCCGACTGTGATACCAGCTGGCCAAGCAGTCGCGTTATCCGCGAATCTTATTCCAAGAGGGCCATCCTGTAATGCCAAAGCTGGAAAACCGACGTTGTTGGCGGCGCCGGTTGTGCCGACTGCTAAACCCATACTCCATCCTGTTCCAGTAGTGATGTTGACTTTTTCAGCCAGTGTCATTTTACTAACCAGCTTAGCAGCCTGATCATAACTTTTCTCCCAATTCTTAGAAGTACCGCCTTTTGGACTGGGATACCATGGTGGTGAGTTTCCGTCAACGGGTGGTGTCTTGATCTTTTTCCAGGCAAATGCTCCAATTGCTGATATGACGAGCCAAACGACTATGATTGTTCCAATGACGGTAAAGCAGCATTTCTTTGCGCGCCAGCTCCGAAGAAGTCGTAAACGACGTTTGCCTGCAGCATCAGATTGGGAATTCTTATTCTTGTTGAGATAATCAGTTGCATCGATGTCAGAGTAAGCGTCGGAATCGTCGCTTGTGTCAAAAGATGCACGGTCGGCTCCATTAAGGAGATTCTCCCTGCTGGGATCCATGTTGAAGATGGATTTGGGGTTAGATGTGAGACATGAATTCTATTGTTGAAGGAATTCAGGCTGATTGTTCAGGTTTATTGCACATGCACGGTTAGCTAATCGTACCAAGACCAGAGGCTGCGTCACGTCGCATTCCAAGCCAAGCTTCCCCTGGACGGTTTGGGGATCATCACTCCACATTGGATACCCTAAATCAAACAAGTTTAGATCAGGTACAGAGCTTATTGTACTCGAGATCACGGAGAATAATATGAAGTGTTTACTCTAAGCATTTAGTTTTTGATCATCATTTACGGGAAGTGCTTTTTCCTTTGAGATGAGGTTGTGCAGACTGTTATTCTTCAAATCAACCGTTGAGTTTTGGAATTGTAAGTGCATGGATTCATTGCCCATACGAGCACGCCAATCAAGAAGATCCAAAGCAGTGCCTGAAACTACCAACAAACCATGGAAAATATAACGACATTTTTCAATCAGGCAAAAGTTGACTGATCAATTCATCATTTCATTTGAGGAGTTTTGCACTGTCACAGACCTCCAGCTGTTGAATGAGTTGACTTACAGCCCGGAGTGCCTGAGTTTAGAGCTTCGGCTATTCTTCGGCAACCCAAATTCCATCTTGAATTTGGCTCATCATCAATTCAACATCTCCCGACAGCTTCATCATCGACATCCCCGTCCAAACCGCCCATCATGTCGATGTTCCGCGCCAAGAAGCTCGATCTGGGCTGTTTCGTTAACGTCCGCACCCTACGCGACCACACAAAGCGAAAGGTCTTTGAGGCCCACGAGACCGAGAGGTGCGCAAACTCTTCCCCGCCGCGACACCACCATCACCGACAACACCAATTAAAAAGACAATCTGTGGGAGGGAATAAAGGCTAACTCGAGGCCAACAGACAAGCTCTCCGATACATTATCCGCAACACAACCCTCCCCCACGAGTCCGCGCCGAGGCACAGCTCCAATTGACACAGATGCACTGCTACACTCGGCCAACGCAGATTCGAAACAGATGTATTATGGGCGGTCAAGGACGTGGTGTGTTGAGTGATTTTAAGATGACTCGAGTAAGTCGAATGAAGAGACGGGAATTGAGGATTGGACTGATGATTGTAGTACAATTTCCGTATGGAGGCTATGGCTGGAAACTTGCCTGGTGTGAAGCGAGCCAGTTGGTAAAAGGTTTGGGGCGAGAGCGAGCAAGAAGGGAAATGTACGACTACTCAATGATGGAGGGGGTGTTGAAAGGACGGGATATCTTGGGTATCATAGACACGACTGTACAATACAAAGGCAAACGCATTGGAACGAACGTTACTTTCACGATGGTCTATATAAGGTGAAAGGATGCTCTATGTCTGACGATTGATGCAGCAGAGGACCAGGAAGATCACACGGGACCGAGGTTTAATGGGAAACGAAGTCCATGACCGTGGAGTGTTAGCCTTTGCCTGGGCAAGCAGATCAGTCGTGATTCGAGAGACAGAGTTGGCTTTGCAAACGGTCCTAAGGGAGCGCTATACACCATGTTGCGTGACTTGTACCGAAGCGATGGGGGCAGCTGTGCCAGACCTTTCGCTTTGCTAAGCGCTTCATCTCTTGTATGCACACGAACGTTGATGCTTTGGCTCAATGCGCTCATCCTACCAGGAGCGATAAGCGCTGATAAGGCGAGGCTGGGGTTCAAGGTTGCCTCCCCAACGATTGAAAACAATGAAAAACAGACTTTCATGATGATTATAGTCATTGGATTCCGTAGCAAGTTTCCGCCTTTCTGTCCTAAGATTTGCCTATACAGTTTTATAACAGAGTTTCTCCCCTCGAGGTAACTGGTATTTGTACTGGTATTTGTACTGGTATTTGTACTGCTTGGTCAAGGCAGCAATTGCATCATTGAGGCAGATAAACCTTATCCGATTTTTGACCACTGATATGTCGGCCGGCTATAGAGGCCTCACTGATTAATTTACTGATATAAAAGCTAAAAAGCTGGATGACCCCTTATAAGGTTGAAAGCAAGAAAAAATAACAGAGTTTCATAATTTATGTTTTTTGCTGACTTTCATGGAGGATAAATATGGGCCCCTCCCATGCATTTCCTCTTTTTTGGCGCCCAAGCCCAAGTGGTTGCCTCAAACAATTGCCACCCCACTGTACATCAACCCAGCCAACTTTCTTTCCTCCACATCATCATACTCTCTTTTAAGCTCTTCTTCTCCCCTCCTTCAACAAATACATCAAACAACACGTCAAAATGGGTGGAGGCGATCTAAACTTGAAGAAGTCCTTCCATCCCGCGCTGCGGCGCAATCAGCAGGCCGTCTGGGATGAAGAAAACAAGGCCCTCGCCGAGCGCAAGCGAACACAACAGCGCATCAACGAAATCAAGGAAGAGCGCGCGAAAGAAGAAGTTCAGCGACAACTCGAGGCCGCTGGAGGCAGAAAGCGCGTCGATCGCGTTGACTGGATGTACCAAGGTCCCAACGATGGACAGGCTGGCACGACAGAAGAATCAGAAGCATACTTGCTGGGCAAGCGACGTATCGACAATCTTATCAAGGGCACGGAACACAAGAAGTTGGAGAAGGATGCGGGGACAGAGAGTTTTATGGCGTTGCAGAATGCGAATACTGCGAGGGATACAGCTGCCAAGATTCGCGATGATCCGTTACTGGCTATCAAGCGACAAGAACAAGCTGCCTACGAAGCTATGATGAACGATCCGATCAAGCGCCGACAACTACTTTCGTCGATGGGAGTGGACGATGAGAAGAAGGAAAAGTCACGGAGGAGGGAAGATCGACACGATAGGCATCGAAGGAGGCATCGTCACCGCAGCGCAGACCCTGACGATAGACATCACAGAAGACGACGCTCTTACTCACGATCGCAAAGTCCACGACGTCGCGATGACTCAAGAGAAGATCGGCACAGGCGACGCAGAGACGATAGTCGAGATGATCGTTCGCGACGCAGACGCGATGATTCAGAGGATGGAGAGCACAGACGTGAACGCCGCTCCCGCCATGAGCGACCACGCCATGAGCGCCCCCGCGATAGTCGACGAGATTCACGAAGAAGTTACCCCGACTCTCGCGACAGACGACCACGATACAACGAAGAAGACGACAAAGCCAAAGAGGAAGAACGTCAGCGCAAGTTAACAGCGATGCAATCTGCAGCAACAGAGCTCGACGACGATCGCTCAAAGCGCCTTACGGCCCTGGAGGAACGGGAAGCAGCACTCCGAGATGCAGATGACAAGGCACGAGAACGCGGAGGTGATCGCGGGTTCGTTAATAAATTACATCAACAAGCAGGCCACAAGGGTCTTGCGGAACGTATGGGCGGAGCACGTCGTGGATATCAAAAGGACGAGGATTAGAAATGGATTCTACAATGGGCGGCCTCTGTTGATTGCTCCTAAGTTGCACATTACATCTTGAACGACATCATTATGTTGGACTTATTATTGAGTGGGGTGGGTTATGGAATCATCGGCATGAAGCGAACCAAGGTTTAATAGAAACAAGTCTCTCGTCCAATACATGTTCAGAATATTGAACAAACTGGCTTTTCAGTGTTGCAATATCGCCTCTTCCGCGTGATACCTACCGCGGGCGGAAAATAAACGAAGCCACTTTATGTTACGATTCAGTCGCAAAGCCACCATGAATCGTCACGACACCAGCTCAACTCAACTCAATTTCAGGTACAGTTTCAGGTGCCGCGGTTCTTGTGCATAGGCCATTCTCGTTATTCATAGGTCATCATGAGTTATTCGCGATGATTTGCGACGTAGCATCACTGTCATCGAATTAACACTGTCGAATTAAAGACTCGGAGCTTAAACCCTCTTTGGCGCAGTGACGAACCGGGACTTTAAAAGAGGCAATCTTGGTAGCGACGGGTGAAAGAGCCAATTAACGTGACGGATCAACGCTACTGCAAGAAAAAGAGAAGTGGTTCCACAGGATGTGCAGAAAAAAAGGGGACACATTTAAAGAGGGACAGAAATGCCCCCCTAAAGCCTCAGTACAATACTGTGAATGTTTATTCTGTCATGTGGGTGGTTGCATCCCCCTCAAGAGGCGCCGAAAATAACCCCTGCCCACTTCTCACTGTCGACTCCACTGCTCGAAGGCCCCAAGGCCTAGAGTTCCAGTGCCCCCCATTTTCCCTTGCGCTGGCCTCTCTCTGACTTCAACTTCTATTTCACAACCTTGCATCTCTTTATCTTTCGCAGCCTGGAAACTACCCTCCCATTTCCTAATCCCTACATACAACGCATCAATTCGCCTTGCGTCAGGAAAGCGTCTATCGACATCTCCCAACGGTTTCTCGCCTGCGAATTCGATCTGCGACTTAACCTTGAACCTTGAACAGGGCGGGTGCACGAACCGAGATTCAACTTATTTCAACGACGCGAATTCCCTTCTGCTTCTGTTCCTTGACAACTACGGAGTCTTCTACGATTGAATCGAATTTGTCAGAATGCCTGCTCTTTGTGGAGGATCTAAAACTGTGCAGCGAAAGCTGGTATTGCTGTGCGTCACATACGAAGAGGAATGGAAGGCGTTGCGCTGATCTGATTTAGGGGTGATGGTGCTTGTGGAAAAACATCGCTGTTGAACGTCTTTACGAGAGGGTATGTTTGCAGGGCAACGAGTGTGATGCGAAGCTCATTGATTATAGCTACTTCCCAACTGTCTACGAACCCACCGTCTTTGAGAACTACGTCCACGGTACGATGCTCGATTCTTCTGCGTACGCGCATCGCTAACGAACGCAGACATCTTTGTCGACAATGTCCACATCGAACTCTCCCTCTGGGACACAGCAGGCCAGGAAGAATTCGATCGATTACGCTCCCTATCCTACGGTACATTATCTGCCTACACACACTTTACGCCCTGCTAATTTTGTCCCTAGACGACACAGATCTCATCATGCTCTGCTACTCCGTCGACAGCAAAGATTCCCTCGAAAACGTCGAATCCAAGTGGGTAGGCGAGATCGCCGACAACTGCCCAGGCACCAAGCTCGTCCTCGTAGCGCTAAAGTGCGATCTCCGCGAGCAAGGCGACGAGGAAGAGAACGAATCAGGAGAACCGCGCGAGAAACGCCCCATGATCAACTACGACCAGGGTCTCGAGGTGGCGCGTCGCATAAACGCCCTTCGATACCTGGAGTGCTCTGCTATGAAGAACAGAGGTGTTAACGAGGCCTTCACTGAGGCGGCGCGTGTTGCGCTGAGCGTCAAGAAGGATCGTGAGGAGGGCGGATGCACTGTTATGTGAACATGATACGATACGAGCGTAATATCGAATACGAGAGCACCTGTCATTGAGAACGAACGAAGCAGGGATGAGACTCTATTCGGCTCCATGGTTATTCTTTGCCCACTACGGGTATTTCACTGTATATATCGTGCGGCATTAAGCACATAGGGAAATCTGGTGTTCTGCGTTGTTTTCTTTTTGCTATTTACAGGCTATTTTCGCTCGGAATGCGAGGTAAATTAGCGGGAGGAGTAGACTTACCTGCGGAAGTCATTTTGTGCCTGCTCTAGCTACAACCACTTATTTTTTATGTCTACTTGTTCCATCTCCCGGCATGTGTTTTGTCTCTTCGTATTGTTTATTTAGCGCATTCTTAATGAGATGATTCTGATTCTAGCTGGTGAGACCAATCTACGCAATGTGCCGAGACTTGAGGGGCAAAGTGCACAGCCACACTGATGAGGGATCATGATGAGATATCAGCAAAAGGTGAGGCCAAGCATTGACGGATGAGCTGTAGATCTTTGATCCGCTGAGATCGTAGGCTACTGTATGAGATTGATGATGCAGTCAATTAAGTTGTAACCGTTGATAAACTCTAAACCTGCAACGTCGACATTGGAATTCTGAATATCTTGGCAGCCTTTGTTACATTCCAATTATACCATCACCACCCTTCAATGTATGATATCAGAGGCATTCATGCATCATTACAACCAGATCGTCCTCTCACACCAGTAATATCATCACACAAAACATAGAAACGCCACCCTCTGCGTCACAGTCTCCCAAAGTGATTATCTTCCCCGTGTCATCTCCGCTTCTTGATTGGTTGGACCCTTGCTACCCTGCGCGCATGCATTGACGTCACGGTAATAAAGCAGGTTTGAGATGTTGACGATCGTAGTTGTGAATGGCATCACTACTGGTAGGGATGGGAAATAATAGAAATAGAGGCCAAGAGACGCCTAGATTCTTGTGAAAAGCTTCTTTTTTATTCTCCAGAATATCAACTTCACTTACACTACACTGATCACTTACACGATATCCACTACCACTTACACGCTTACACCACCCTACACCACTTACATTACACTACACTAATAAGTTATCACTATAAATCATCATCATGGGTCTCTTTGGTCGTCGTGAACCCTCCCCAGAGCCAATCCGCGAGGAACCCCCCCGCAAGCACGGCCTCTTCTCCTCATCCCGCCACGAGCCCCCCTCCACACGAACATCCACATCCTCCCACCACCGTCACTCCCGCGGTTCAGCCTCCTCCTACGACCGTCGTCACTCGCGCTCATCCTCCCGTTCCCCGTCTCGTCGTACCTCCAACGGCGGCTTCTTGTCTCGTCTAGGTGGAAACCGCAACGAGCATGACCCTGCTGTTCTTGAAGCGAGAGAACGAGTTCAGGATGCCGAGAGGGCGGAACGTGAGGCTGATCGTGCGTTGGAGGAGGCGAGATTGAGTGTGAGGGAGGCCAGGGAGCATGTTAAGAGATTGGAGGTTGAGGCGAAGGAGGATTCGAGGAGGGCCAAGGTTAAGCAGACGCAGGCGAAGGAGATGTCGAAGATGGGACGATCTCTTGGACGTAAGTACTTATGAAAAGCATGTGGACGAACGTGATGCTAATGAAGATTCAGGCCATGGATACTAAACATCCACTGAAGCGACAGAGCACTGGAGTTGTTGGAGTGTATGAGTAGTCTTGTTCTGTATTACGACTGTATGAGAGAAAAGCACAAGTATACGATAGAGCTATCAAGGAGTTACGAAGCAGCGTTCTAGTTTGAGCAGTTCTTCTTCACAATACCGATTTTCTTTACCCATCATCAGTAAAATCTTGTGATATGTCCTATTTCAGATGATTCCTCAATAATTATGTCGATGTCTACATCATAGCACGAGAACAATTCATACGTTGACAAAACGTCAGTATCTCCATGGGCTTCAGAGCCAGATGTTGCATAAGCAGTTCAAAATAACCATGAGAATCCAAGGTATTGAGGGACTCATTCATTTTATATTCTACACGAAGGCGACTTCAACTCTACTGGCGCATGGTCTTCAACTTCACAGCTCATTCCCACTGTCATCCTCACTTCATATGAACTCATATCAATGCAACGTACTCAAGGGTATTGACTAGTCGTTCTACCAGCGTCCACTCAGCCCACCACTTCTTCATGATTACCGAGCGTTTTCCATGTTCCGAGCACGAGACACACCCGCCAAAGGTTGGTGGCTTGTACCTCCGATAGGCGCTCCGCACTCAGGACATCGAGCAACCTCCATTGGCATTCCGCATTCTCCGATCGCAAACTAGATCCAAAAGTTAGTAGGCGCTACAAGTTCCAAGGTTTCTACTCACAGGATGGCCATTGGCACAGTTATACCAGTGCCCAGAGTGAGTGGCCAGGCCTCCACGTCCGCTGACCATGGCAGATTTGATCGACGCCAGTTCCTCTGGAGTCACAGCATGGTACTGAGGCTCGAAAAGTCGCGACATTTCTTCTAGTCTCTCTTTCAACTCCTTGCTATTTCCGAGATTCTCGCAACAAAGTAATGCAGCTTGGAGAAATTCCTTAGCCCTGCCGACGTACTTCTTCACACTCTCATTCCCGGGTGTTGGGGCGGTAGTGCCATCTTTGGTCTGCGCGCACCAAGTTGCTAGCTGAGATACCTTGGCATAGCATAGACTCGCTGAGACAATTATTCGCGGGAGGTTTGCCTTTTTAGCTTCGTTGATGAGATTGTGGCAGATGGTGAAGAAGTCGACGGTGGACAAAAGAGGCTGCTCTTTCAGCCATCCTTGGATCACAGTGGCATTGACTTTATCTCTGCAGATCTGAAGGAGTGCAATTGAGTCTTGAAACTGCACCTCCTCAGCCTTGACCGTAAGCAACTTTGCTCCCAGAATGATTTGGCTGTCTGGTTCTGGCGGCGAGAGCTTCATAGCCTCCATCTGTACTGCGAGAGAAAATGGATCACCGGTGACATGGACGCGAGCTGTCGCGATCCGATCGATGAGAATCTTGGTAGGCTGATGAGCTTTGCCCATCTTCTTTGCCAGGGCCTTGGATGTATCTCTGAGTCTCTTCAGCCTTTGGTATCTCTTGTTGGTCAACATCTTTTGGGGCCAGCTTGCAATAGTTGAGTGAGACGTTCGAGTTGCGCTGAGGTTGTTCTCCTCAGATCGCAGTTGGTCCTCCAGCGACTTGAGTTCCTCACGCCCGTTGATGATGAAACGCTTGCAAATCTCATCCATCACTGCTCGGTTGATGAGCCGATTGTACCGTTTAGTAGCGAACTGTCGAATGGGTCGTTTGCAGTCTGGACAAAAGGGAACATTTCGGGAAAGGGAGCCAGTGGTATCCTCCAAGCCATTGAAAACACCCTCCTTGTCCCTTACGTAAACTTCATCCAGCCCGACCAGACCATCAAGAGTTTCCCCAGTGAAGAAATGGCCACATCCGATTACCACGATGGGACTTTCGTCAAGGTCTACTTCACTGTACGATCGGAACTCTAGAATATCGACTCGAGCATCAGCTTTGTCGCCGCATTCCTGACAGTATCCAACAGGGCAGTCCTCTCCACAGAAGCTTGGGCACTGGTGGCCACAAGGGGGTTTCTTCGTACATCGTTCATCGCAAGGGAGTCGATCGCATGGTGCTGAACAGGGCATGGAGCAAGCCTTTTGGTGTGGACAGGACCAGGTACATTTCTCGATACAAGGTGCGCATGCCTTGTTGCATGGCGAGGCACAAGCAGAGTGCGGGCATCGAACCTAGTACATGTTAGTGAATATTCCATGTTGGAAATGTCAATCCTTACTTCGCATGGTTCGTTGCAGCTACCACAGGAACGACCATCATGGCATACTTGGCGGCATCTGTGGTTGCAAGAACCGAAGGGACGATCGCAAACTTTGGTGCAAGGGTTATGGGCGAAAGAACCATCCTCTTTTCGACAGCTGCTGCATGTTCCAGTACATTGATGTCCACATGGCAGTATCTCAGAGCAAGGGGTAGAACAACTGAAGTATGGCTCCTTGACGTCGACCCAACATTCCACTGTGACACAGTGGTCGCAGGTAGGGACAACTTTCTCAACCTTCGCTGTACATTTCACTGATGATAAGTTCAGCTTCTTGTGACACATCAAATTTTGCTTAACGTGACCACATGGAAGTTCAACATCGCGAACCTGAACCCTGCAAGGACCGCAGAGCTCTCCGCATAGCTTGGGACACAGATGATCGCAGGTGTCTCGGACGCGAGGGCAAGGCTGTTGACAGGAGAAAGCTTCATGCATGGCGTTCGAGTGGCAACGAGCCGGGCACTGATGGCCGCATGGTTCAAGTCGTCGAGAGCAGGTGAGAGTACAACCGCCTTCAGGACTCTTGATGGCAAAGTCTTCTGGTTCAGCGCATGTGATCTGAATATCTTTATGTCGGGGACAGCACAGTTCAATCTCCTTCCCAACAGAGCCGGCTTGCGAGAGTTGGTTGTAGACATCAGCCCACATTGGCCTGTTAAGGTAGGTCTCGGAGTTGCCAATCAGATACATGCCATGTTGCGCTCGACTCAGAAGCACGTTGATGCGATTCTCAGTTCGTAGGAATCCCACTTTACGCTGCGCGTTGCTTCGAACCAAGGATACAACAATGACCTTGGCTTCTTCGCCCTGGAAATTGTCAACAGTAGCGAGCCGGATTGTCTGAAGGAGTTGCTTCTTTTCGATCATCTTCTGAGTCCCTGATGATCCTCGACCTGACTCATCTTCAAATCCGTCATGCGCCAGCTGATCCATGTCTCGATCACTGAGACAAATCTCAAAGTCTTTACAGAGAGCAGCCCGTAGTTGCTGAAGTTGTCCTGTGTACGGCGTAAGGAGAGCGACGTCCTCGGGTTTGTACTCCCCTTGTCGAACGATATGTCGGACCAACGCCGTAGCCATGTTCGTCTCCCAGGTGTTGCTGTGCGACTTGACCCGAGTTCCATCTCCGCCTGAGTCCTCTGGGTGGTTGTGATCAAGCCAAAAGAGGTCCTTGCGCATGCCTACCACGTCATTTAGGTGGAAAACTGACTCGTGGTCTTGTAGATTTGGGTAAACTCGGCGGATGAGTTGAGAGATTTCAGGTCTCATCCTTCGCTGCACATTGAGCTGAGCGAAGGGTGCTGGTGGGAGACCTGGTTCGCCGACCGCCCGTCGCTCAAACTGGCTACGATCCAGCTGCCAGAACTTACCCGAAGACGACTCCAAGCTAAGTTCAAAGTTGTTGATCTGAGGTCGAAGTTGTTTGTGATCTCCAATCTGAATAAAGTGCTCAACACTTTCCATTAGGGCAGAGATGATATCAGCCTCTCTCAACTCGCCAGCTTCCTCACACATGACACACTTGATCTTCAAACTCCGCAGCATGTCGATCTGCTTTGCTAGAGATGTAGTGGTGATTCCAATGACATCAGCTCGGGAAAGAGTTCGCTGATCCACGGCATCATGCGTTCGCTGGATGGTCTTGCGCTTCTGCTCGGCGTCGTGCAGGGACTCAAAAAGCCGACCTATCTGTGTCTGATGTTGTTGTTCAAGCCAATATTCGACAATGAACCATCGCTGTTCTGACGACAGCAATCCGATGTTGGTTTCCGCTCGAGTGATGATATTTCGCCATGTCGATGGCTCAACTGTGATTTGCTTCGGTCGCTTACCGAGCCAAGATTTCAAGATGTCTTTGGTGACGACTTCGAAACCTTCCTCATCATGGCTCCGAAACTGGTTGTAGATTCGGGGATGTTTTCGCGATAAATATCGTTTCAACCCATCCCAACTTGGCCCTTTGCGAGCCTGAAACAAAGGCCCCAGCGATTGTTCAGCAGACTCCAAGGAGGACTCATGCGCACTATAAGCCTCACCCAAGATACTTCTTTCTACTCCTGTCTTTTGCGTTTCCTTGCTGACGACGCGAAGGTTTTTGCTGTCGAGTTCTTCTGTGACACTGCGACCACCAATGCGAATGATGGCTTCGATTCCAACGTCAAGAAGATGCTTCAGGAACTGGTCCAGAGCATGGTTCGTATAGCAGCTGTTGGTCACATATGTTAGTTTGATAAATCCCAGACACTTGTTTGTCAACTTACATGATTAGGATTGGGCCCAGTTTCGCCTCTTTCTTCACAGCAAGCAAAGTTCTCACGAGCTGTACTCCGAGGTAGGACTTGCCAGTTCCAGGGGGACCTTGAATGAGCGCATATTCCCTTGTGAGGGCACCAACCAAGCCTAGACATTGGCCATGGTCGAGACCTGTAGCATCTTCGATCTTCTTTAGATCGATATCCTCCAAGACTAGGGAAGGATCCAGATCCAGTCGAACATCCTTATCCTTGGCGATACAGTTGAGAGGAAACACAAAGCCTGGTTTGCGAGCGTACAGTGGCGGAGGCATACGGTTGTTCTCGCCAGAGGTTGGCAAGATCCAGTTCTGAAACGCTATGTGGTTCTCTCGTTTGATCTTTTGAAGGTTCTTGAGGATTGGCATGAAAGTGTCAGGAATGACGCCGTTGAAGTCCACCAATACACCCATGGTGTTGTCCTGAAACAGTCGAAGAAGTACAGTCAGGTCGCTTTGCTGGTGTGTTGCAAGCTTGACGGTAATGCTTGGAGCAATGTTGTGCGGAACAAGACTACTCTTGCTCGTATCAGTGTGCTTATGGTCCCATTGTGTACTTTTGGTGGTGACTTGAAGGAAGAGGATCCTCTTGTTTTCACCCTCCGAAGTCACAAAACACACAAGCGTTCCTTCACCCAGTCGAGGAGATCTCTGCCACCAGTCACGCTGATCAGCAGGTGACTTCTTGCGAATGAAAGGTGGTGCGAGAAAGGATACAATTGCCTCCAGTCCATGCCTCTCGTGAATAGAGATTCGACGGAACTTTGCAGATGCGTAGACTTGTGCTTGGCTGTTTTTGTCTGTCGTTCGTCCGACCGTCAGGTTGTCGGAAGAAAGAACATCTCGAAGAACATCATTCACTGGACCCAGTGTATCGTGTCTGACAAGGCGGAATGTCGAATCGATGTACCGCTGCATAGGATCTTGCAAGTTATGAGGATGCAAAAAGTTGGTAGACGGTAGGTATTCTTCATGCTCGCTAGTGATTTCTCCTTGAGTTGGAAGAATGGAGACGTCGGAGATCTCAGCGAAGTCATTGTCGTGTCTACCACCTGGTATGGCGAGCTCCTGGGGGAATGATGATGCGACCGAGGTTTTGTCTCTCTTCTTACCACCTGTTGGTGGTTTGGTAGCGACTACTCGGGCAGTCGACCCATCAACGATCCTCTTGATGATGTCTAAGCGACCTTGAAGTCCATCACGGTAAGCCCCAGCAACGTGCTGAGCAATCAGAGCAAGAATGTTGTCCAGCAACTCAATGAGCTTGGGTAAACCATCACAGAACCGAGTTCGACTGGTCTTGACGAGAAGTTCGTGTAGCGCCTTCAAGATGACATCGACAAGATCGTGAAGTTCGGGATCTAGTGTACCAACTGTTCCGCCGATGGTCTTGGAGATACTGGTGCACATCCGGGACAAGAACTCAATGCCTTGTTGACCGCTTGTGCCACCGAATAGCACGTATATGGTTCCAACAAAAGGACTGATGGAGAGCGGCGTGAGAGCAGGATGGGCAAGGGCTCGGAGGAAAGTCTCGGCGCACTTGAAGCTGGATGTTGTTCTGAAAGAAGTCATTTTGGTGGTGACATCGATCCACTCTGGACCGTTAAACTTGTCTTGAACGAGTTCCTTGGCGACGATGTGATGTTGGTCCTGGCTATCACCATCCAAAATACCAAGAGCTCCTTCCCAGAACTTGAGAGTTTCTTCAATTCGATCGGATCCAAGGGACTCGTATGGGCTGCCACGTAGAAGGCGTTTCCAGTCGTAGTACTCTTCGCGAGCTCCAGCGTCGAGGTGATTGTCTGCCGGACGTGAAGGACGCTCATTGCTGGTACCATCTTTATCATGGTAGAACTTGCAATCTCGTCCGTACTTGCATCTTCCCCTCTGGAATTGAAAGCATAGTTGATTTCCGCTCTTGTTTCCGTTGGCTTTGCCTTGTCGGCCTGGAGGACGACCGCCTCCTCTACCACCTCTGGGCACCATAGTACGTAGTAGATAGAGAATTGAGCTGTCTTTGGAATGTTCTGCTCATGAAAAATGTCAGCTTGTTTCTGATAAGCAAGAGTCAAATGGTGGAAATACCAGTAGTCGATCGTCGGGTGAAACTGGGAGTGCGACGTGTGGATGAAGGGAGAGTAGACGGTGAAAGAGAAGAGTCTGGACGCTTGGATGCTGCGAGAGAAAGTTCTTTCTGTTGCTGCCTTATGATTCACTGCCTTGCGCTGGAGCCTGATTTGTTTGTTGTGGTCAGTGTTGGCAGTGTTGGCAGTGTTGGGTCAGTGGCCGGCCTCCTGCAGTGCCAGAGGCAGAAATCTGCCTAAGCTGACAGTGCCGACTCATGCATTCACCCGTTGGACTGAATAACATGGCGGATGCTATCTGAGGCCATATTCAATCAGATGTGCATAGTAGACAGTGTTTGATAGTGCCCGTTCGTGCAAGGAGGTTTCTTGCAGCTGCATCCAATCGAAACCGCCAGGTGATTCTTTGAGCACAAACATTACCTTCACACATTCTACAATCTCCCTATGTACTTCTTGATACATATCGTAACAATATCTTGGGTGGGAAGCTTAGAAAGATGGGTTTTGGATCTGGATCTTGAGTTTGTGAAGTTTGGGTGCAGTCAGGTTGGATAGGCTTGTCTTTCGACCACCACTGACACAGGATCTATTCATCCCTGGCATGAGAATGGTATACTTCAACGACATGATACTCCATTCAAGTCAAATCACTTTGAAAAGAATTGGTATACATTAACAGAAATATTGTGTTGTTGGTCTTTCGTTTTGAGCTCTAATAGGTGGAGGAATAACCAACGGAAGGCATGGGAAACGGCAATCCTTTGGCTTTGACGCTGGTCAGGCTCATTAATACTATGAGACAATTCCAAAGAACATCGTAATGTCTTAAGCGCCTCAAATAATGTCTTTCACGGTGTCTCATTCACAAACTGTCGTCGTGAAGTCGTCCAAATCTTGGCTCACCCTAGAGCCTTTAGTGCGGCGCCAGCTCCCGTCTCACGTAAGAAGTATAAACGACGATCAAACCAATCTATCACCACCTCAATTACTCCATCAGGAAGTAATTACACTATCAAAAGCATCAATATCAACATCAAGCCATGAAAAAAGGAAGGTTACACAGAATGCGTCACCCCCTCTCGTGGGTTATCAACCAAACACCCGAAATGACGCAACCACTCCTCGCGCTTCGGACGTATTTCAAAGCCGATGGTGCAATATTGCGAAATGCCGATTGAATTAATAATGCAGCGTTGCTTCGCTGCCTTCTTCCGAGTTTCCGTACAGAGAGAATGGCGGGGTTGTTTACTACAAGAAGTACAAGTCCTGCTAGGAATTTGTTCATTTCACACAACTTCACGAAACAAATCACTACTCGACATATTAACACAGCTGTCAAAATGGGCTCTCAACCTCAAGCAGACATCACTCTCTACACCAACCACGCCTGCCCTTGTATGTATATCCCATATCAACTCTTCAGTATAACTCCGCTGATTCACCCCCCGCAGTCGCGCACAGGGCACACATCACCCTCGCCGAACTTGGTCTCCCCTTCAAGGAAGAAATCATTGATCTCAACACCCCCCGATCCCCAGAATACTTGCAGATCAACCCCCGCGGCCTCGTCCCAACCATCATCCACAATGGCGAGATCATCACCGAGTCCGCCATCGTCGCTCAGTTCCTCGTAGATGCGTATCCCAACGATCTCCTCCCCGCGTCGTCGGACAAGAACGGTCCGTTGACGAGAGCGAGGGTGGCTTTCTTCGTGGATGCGTACTCGAGCAAGGTTCAGGCGCATATTGGAAAAGCTATTTATGGGGCCAAGACGGAGGAGGAGGCTAATAAGGCTGCGGACGATGCTGTTGCTGGTATCGTCAAGGAGGTTGAGCCGCTTCTTAAGAATGCGGCGCCTTACTTTAACGGGAGCGATAAGCTCACCTTTGCAGAGGTACCAACCCACGCCCTCTCAAGAGACATTGGCTGACAAGAGATAGGTCCTCACAGCTCCATTCGTCATTCGACTGCTCTCCTTCGCCAAGCACGGCGTCCTCCCAACCAATCTCCCCTCCCGCCTCGAGAAAGAAACCCCCAACTTCTACAAGTGGGCACAAGCCATCAGCAAGAACCCCAGCGTCCTGAAGATCTACGACGAGGACCGAGTCGTTGAGGGAACCAAGAGGAAGAGAGCCCAGCTTCTCAGCAAGGCCTAAGATCAAGGTGGCTATGTATAGCCCAAGATTTAATGACCGACCGCACGATCCTTGCCTTTCACAATGGGGCAACTTTATCGCAATGCAAGGATGAGGATTAATGTATCCGAAACATTACTGATATCGGAGAATATCATTAACATTACGAGAATAGTGTAAATTGAGTTACCTTTATGTTATGGTTATCATGATTAAAAAAGGTTAAACCCGAATATGCAGAGCCTCCCGCTGCATTAGTCCCAATTTCCAGATCTTGCATTTTATCAAGCGCCAATAAAAGATTCCCACTTCGCCCGCCCCCCTTTCCCCCTGTCGATCTACGACTCACCAATGTTCCATTGGCGATGTTCATATTTAGCAACAGCTTCTTTGAATTCAAATTTCAATTCAGCCAAGATTCTCAAGTGGATATGCCAATCCGCTAGCCCGTCCTATATCCTGGTTCTAATTTCGACCCTCAGTGAAAAATCATGGAAAACCACCTAGTGACAACCCATGCAAAAAGCCCTTCCCGCCCAGGTCTTGGCGCGTCGCATGTCCCCTTGTAGGTGACACGCCGGGCTGTTAGATACAGGCTTTCTAAGTGGTCTGAAATTAACCAAGGCCCATTCGATCTAGAGGTTTTGGTGATGGCCTCCTGTGGGCCCTGCCATGCTTGGCCTGCGAGAATGGGTCCTCGGTACTGGTACTCTTTTGTCTCCTTTTCTGCCGTTTGCCGCTTTTATTCTCTTTCCATTTTATTTTTCTCGATTTTTTCCTTATTCATGCATGCTCTTTGAGTAGGTAGATCAACAAGTCTTCTCCTTTCCTTTGAGTTTGTTCTTCTTTCCTTGTCTGTCAGTCTCTCTCATATTGCTTGATCCTTGGGTGTTTCATTCGTTTCATCACCCATTCACTCCTTTGATCTCGACAGACTCGACTCACTTTCATCTCATTCATTTTCCTCTCTCTTTTTATTGTAGACTGTACTCGACAAATCAAACACCATGCTTTCGCGATACATTCTTCCCGCGGCCGCCATCTTTGGCCTTGCGGCTGCTCAAACAACCTCCGACTGCAACCCTCTCAACGAAACCGACTGCAAACCCAACCCAGCCTTCGGAACCAGCCATCTCTGGCACTTCAACGACACGCCCTCCAGCGACCACTGGGACAACCATGTCGGTCGCGTCACCTACGATGAGAATGACGGCGCTGTCTTCACCGTCGCCAAGCAGGGTGACTCGCCTACTCTCCGCACCGCGTTCTACTTTTTCTTCGGCCGCACCGAGCTTCTCATGAAGGCTGCTCCTGGTGTTGGAATCATCAGCTCCATGATGTGGCTGAGCGACGACCTGGATGAGGTCGACTGGGAGATCCTGGGCGCGAACGACACCCATGCTTCGACCAACTACTACGGAAAGGGTGTTGAGGACTTTACCAAGGCGGGGTGGCACTACGTTAAGGGTGGTATGCAGGAGGATTACCATAATTATACGACGACGTGGACGAAGGATGAGTTGAACTGGTACATTGATGGGGAGAATGTGCGAAAGGTTGTTGCGAAGGATGATATGGATAGTTATCCCCAGACGCCTATGAGACTCAGTATTGGAATCTGGGCTGCTGGTGATCCTACTATGCCTGAGGGAACTCGTCAATGGGCCGGTGGTGGTAAGTTTGATTGTCTTTGAGAACGAAGAGTTGTGCTGATGAGTTGCAGATACCGATTACGGCAAGGGTCCTTACACCATGCACGTCAAGAGCGTTTACGTCGAAGATGCCAGCACCGGAAAGGAGTACGTCTACGGCGACAAGACTGGAAGCTGGGAGAGCATCGAAATCGTCAAGTAAGCCCCTTCCCCATTCCCCCAAACCATCACCATATATACTAACCCTCAAACCAGAGGCAACTCAACCGCCTACGAAGCTCTCTACAAAGAACCCGAAAAGACCACCTCCGAGAAATGGGAAGCCCTCCCCGCCGGAACAAAGACAGGAATCTACGCCGGCGGCATCGGCGCTGCAGCCATCAGTCTCGGAGCCCTAGGTTTCTACTTCTGGCGTCAACGCGCCGCCGGTGCTAGCGAGGCCAAGATCGCGAGCGACAAGGCTGCTGCTGAGAATGTTGATCTCATGTCGTACCGTGCTGGTGAGGATACGACGAACCAGGGCTTTGAGTACAGCGCTGCCAAGTATTCAAAGGTTCCGGCTCAGGATTCTGCTTAAGTAGAAGGTTGATAGAGTTCGTTTGCATTTTTCCATATTCTAGATGCTTTTGTCTTTTTTCTTCTTTCTTTTTTGTAATGGCATATACACATTTTTGTTTGTTCAAAGTTATATACACTGTAGAATACCTACACAGGAACAGGGATATTTATAGCAGGTTTGGCGTTGATCAATTGAGATGCATTGTAACATTAAGATTGACTTCTATTATAAATCTCCGCGATAGAGTTGGATTGATAATCATGGCCAACGTGGTATTGAGCAGACGATCCATATAAGCGCACCAGGTTCCGTTCCTTGATAGGGCTGTCGTATAGAATTAACAAAACGGGATAGTTCGTTGAACCGACCGTCCAAGTCATGAATGGCCGGAGCTGCTCCACATGGACTCCCGTTTTGTTAAAGTTAAACGATGCATGGTTTGACGAAGGATGGCAAATGTCAATTGAGTCGTTTCTAGGGCGTATGCGACACTCTGGCGCAAACTGCCGATCTATTAAAGATTGTGACAGAAAAGGGTCCTCCTGTATCGGAGCTAAATATTTAAATATTTCGAGAAGCCCAATTGATCTGATACAACTTATTCTCTCAACCTCAATTGAAGTAAGCAAGCAAGCGCTCTTCATCAATCATTATCTGAATCATACTCTTCACTTTAACTGAAGTGTCCTTTTTGCAGAGATCAAAGCCACGAGCCTGCGCCAACATTCTCATTTCACTTTAACTGAAGCTATTCACAACCCTCACAACCCACTACACTCACAATGTCTCTCGCATTCCGCCCCGCGACACCACAAGATGTCACCCCTCTCCTCGCCCTCATAATCTCTGCCTACCGCGGCCCCGACTCCCGCGCAGGCTGGACAACAGAAGCTGACCTCCTCGCGGACGAGCGCATATCCTCCACTGATCTTCTCGCCAAAATCACCGACCCCAAAGGCGCAGTTATCCTCGCCTTCACAAGCTCCCCCTCCTCATCAGGAGCATCAACGCCAGAAGGTGACAGCGATCCTCGGCTTGTCGCATGCTGCGAAGTTCTTCAAAAAGACACGGAGCGCGCTTATTTCGGCCTCTTCGCTGTATCGCCGAAGTTACAAGCCGGCGGTATTGGAAAGCAGGTCCTTGGGTTTGCGGAGAATTATGCGGTTAGGAATTGGGGAACGAAGATTATGACGATGTGGGTTATTTGGACGAGGAAGGAGTTGATTGAGTGGTATGTAAGAAGGGGATATGTGAGGACCGGGGAGAAGAGTCCGTTTCCGTATGAGGGGCTTGTTAATGGTAAGGCGTTGAGGGATGACTTGTACTTTGATCATTTGGAGAAGGTGTTGGCATAGACAGAGTTGTTGGAGAACTATAGACCTGGGACAATGAAAAGGGCGGTACGAAATAGACTAATGAGACATGCTATCACACTTCAAACATCACAATCATGAGAGAAAAGGGTTTGGACAAACGCAAATCGTCAATCATAGGCTACTCTGTCACGATGCTATATACATTCAAATCGACCTTATATGATCATTCCACCTTTTTCTCCGGGTATCTCTCTTTTTATTGACCCTCAACCTGCTTAAGAATGCCCTCAAGGTTAATACTCTTAGGTCTCTCAATGGGCAGACCCAGAGCCCGATCCCAGATCAACTGAGCAAGAGGTCCAAGACCACGAGAAACACCAAATGTAGCAGTGTAGTACAGCGTCTCGTGGAAACCGTAGTGGTGGAACAAGACACCAGAGGAGCTGTCGACGTTGGGGTAGGGGTTCTTGGTCTTGCCGTGCTTCTTGAGGACCTCAGGGGCGATGCGGCTGTTCTTCTCGACGAGCTGGAAGACGGGGTCGTTGGCGATCTCGGGACGCGCGGCGGCGTAGTCCATGAGGGCTTCGAAGCGGGGATCGGGCTTGCGCAGGACGGCGTGGCCGTAGCCGGGGACGACGCGGCCGGAGTTGAGAGTGGACCAGAGATAGTCGTTGACGTCTTGCTCGGTGTAGTTGGCGGGGATGGCTTCCTTCATTTGGATGATCCATCGGAGAACCTCCTGAGCGGCGAGACTAGCAACATGTTAGTACAGATCACGGCTGGAGAGAGAGAAATGCTTACCCGTGAAGAGGTCCAGCGAGACCCTGGAGACCAGCACTGTAAGACAAGAAAGGATCCGACAGTGCACTGCCAACCAAGTGAGTGGCATGAGCAGAGACATTACCACCCTCATGATCACCATGGAGAGCAAGGTAAAGTCTCAGAAGATCCTGAAAGTTCTCATTCTCCTTTCCACCCTTTCCAAGCATAGCAGCAAAGTTGTACGACCAATCCTGCTCAAGATCAACCTCAGCTGGCAGAGCACCACCGCCACGGTAAGCATTCTGGTAAATCTTGGCAGCAATGGTAGGAAGCTTAGCCAGCAACGAAATACAATCGTCAAAGGTAGGCTCCCAGTAATCAGCCTTGTTAAGACCCTGCTCATAAGCCTTGGCAAACTTGGACTCGTAGTTGAGCGCAGAAACAGCCATGGCGAATTGTGTCATGGGATGAAGATCCTTGGGGAAATCATCGAGCATCTTTGAGATAAACTCTGGAATTTGCGCCTTCTCTGCGAGTTCGCGAGAGAATGTGCGGACCTGGTTCACGGAGGGAACTTGGCCGGTGAGGAGAAGCCAGAACATAGCTTCGGGGAGCATCTCAGTGCCTGTCTTTCCCTTGGGAAGCTCCTTTTGACAATCCTTGATGGTGCGGCCGTGGAAGCGAATGCCCTCGTTGGCATCGAGGACGGAACCTTCCCAGACCATGGCCTTGAGACCGCGCATGCCACCGAGGGTGTTCTCGACCTTGACTTCGCCGAGGACTTTGTTGGAGTGTGCCTTGACCTTCTTGAGGAGCTCGCGCTTGGCGGGGATGGCCTCGCGGAGAGTGGCTTTGAGATCAGGCTCTGCGGTGGCATAACCGCGGACACCTGAGAAAGCGGCACGGGTGAGGGGCTGTGAAGTTGTGAGTTTTGGTGTTTTATCACATGCAAGTTGCTTCAGAGGAGCTTACCTTGAGGGAGCCCAGAGCCCTGCGAGAAGTCGTCAAGTTGAGAGCCATTGCTATCTTTGAGGAGGGATAAGAGAGGAATGAAGCAAAAAGAAAGAGAAGAAAAAAAAGAAGATCAAATAAGAGGAAGAGGAGATCAAGTATGAGGAGTGAGATGGGCCGAGGGTTCCCTGTGGTAAACGAGCTGAAGCGGTAGGTGGGGGTGTTATGGTCGAATCTGGGGTAACAGCCGGGGGAGCGGGGGCATCCAACGAGAGCTGTTGATGGTGGTTTGCACGTTTATTTTGTCATGCGGGGTTGAGCAGAACTCTTATGACGCAGCGAGTGCGGAGAAGAGATCACTATAGTCGCTATGTATTGAGTGTCAGAAGGATTAATAGAATTGCCATAATATGCAGAAGTATCAAGACCATCACATAATCAGATCATCTCCAAATCTCTGTATTTTCTGTGTAATTGTTCGACCAAACATTCGAGTTCCACGGTTATCACTGCGACTCCAACCGAGGAAACCCGCCATGAACCGACTTGAGTGCCACGGCTCAACCGTTCACTTTAACCAATCAGCATCACGAGTCTTTACCGTACAAGCTCACTCATTGGCCAATTCGTCGGCAATGCTCTTCTTTAACCAAGGCTTTGCTGACATGGAGGGCATCTCCAAGTTGTAAGCTGCTTTTTTGTCAGGCTCTCGTAATGAAATAATAAGTTTGGTCTGCTCGGTTACAGAGCTGTTCGTCGGTAACCGGTCGGTCATCGAGTTGGGGTTTTGTTCTTGTCATGATGGCTCAGCAGTGGAATTAATAAATAAATTAGAGAGAGTAGAATAGAATGTTTTCATGTAGAAGCAATTACTATTAACTAGACTCACTCTTTTCATCTTTGTCGTGGGCGCTGGCTGGCCTTGCAGCTATCACGGGCTTCAAGTCATCCTCCGCAAGTGCTCGACTTTATTATTCATCCCCCTCCCACCCGTTATTCCCGATCTATCCACCACCTCTTTTTCACAACCAACTTTCCTCCTCTTCCCTCTCATCCTCACAACAACACCCAAAATGTTGCGCAGACTATCAACAAAAGCTCCCCAGCGCCTCCTCTCCGCTTCCAAGCCCCGAAGCATAGCACCCCTCCTCGCCATCCGCGCCATATCCACCACCTCCGTCGCAAAGATGTCGCAGCTCAGCACACACGCTACACAACCCGCCGACGCATTCCAGCTTCTGCCAGAGTCGCAAAAGGCCGGCGAGGCGGAGGATCGGCTATACGAAGCTACCGTGAAGGAAATTGAGGCGTGGTGGGCTTCGCCGAGATATCAGGGTATTAAGAGGCCGTATAGTGCGGAGGACGTTGCGACCAAGAGGGGGACGCAGAAAGTTCAGTATCCTAGCTCTGTTATGGCGCAGAAGCTCTTCAATTTGATTAAAGAGCGCGTGGCGAAGGGCGAACCTATCCACACCAGTAAGTTTCCCGCGATACACGTCTGGAGATCTGGCTAACGGTTTGTAGTGGGCGCAATTGATCCCGTTCAAATGACCCAACAAGCTCCTCACCAAGAAGTCCTCTACATCTCAGGCTGGGCCTGTTCCTCCCTGTTAACCTCTACCAACGAGGTATCGCCCGACTTCGGCGACTACCCATACAACACCGTTCCCAACCAAGTTCAGCGTCTAGCCAAGGCGCAGAACATGCATGATCGCAAGCAGTGGGATCTTCGTCGCAAGATGACCGCTGAAGAACGAACAAAGACACCATACGTTGATTACCTCCGCCCTATCATTGCAGACGGTGACACTGGTCATGGTGGTTTGTCTGCTGTTCTTAAGCTCGCTAAGCTGTTCGCTGAGAATGGTGCTGCGGCTGTTCACTTTGAGGATCAGCTTCATGGCGGAAAGAAATGCGGTCATCTAGCTGGAAAGGTTCTTGTTCCTATTGGAGAGCATATCAACCGCTTGGTGGCTACGCGCTTTCAGTGGGATGTCATGGGCTGTGAGAACCTCGTCATTGCACGAACGGACTCTGAGTCCGGCAAGCTTCTCTCATCTGCTATTGATGTCCGCGATCACGAGTTCATTCTCGGTGTTTCGGATCCCTCGATTGAGCCCCTCGCTGAGACCATCCAGGCTATGGAGGCAAAGGGTGCTGTTGGCGCTGAAATCGATGCCTTTGAAGCTCAGTGGGTCAAGAACACTAAACTCGTCACCTTTGACGAAGCTGCTGTTGCGCACATGAAGAAGGAGGGTGTTTCACAAGCCAAGATTGACGAGTATCTCGCCGAGACTGAAAAGGACCACGACATGGGTATCTCCCGCCGTCGCGGCCTTGCAAACAAGTACACCAAGGAGCCTGTCTACTTCAACTGGGACGTCCCCCGTACCCGCGAAGGTTTCTACCATTACCGCGCTGGTATGCAAGCGGCTACCAAGCGCGCTCTTGCATTCAGTCCTTACGCGGACCTTCTGTGGGTTGAGACAGGTGATCCCAACGTTGAAGTAGCTACCAAGCTAGGCCGCGCTGTTCGCGACGTCAACCCCGGCAAGGGACTCGTGTACAACCTTTCACCCTCATTCAACTGGATGGCTCACGGTTTCACTGATGAGACTCTCAAGTCGTTCATCTGGGACATTGCTCGCGAGGGCTTCGTTCTTCAGCTCATCTCTCTTGCTGGTCTGCATTCCAACGCTACGATCACAACTGAGCTGTCGCGGGAGTTTAAGAAGGATGGTATGAAGGCATATGTTGATATTGTGCAACGTCGTGAGAAGGATTTGAAGTGTGATGTTTTGACACATCAGAAGTGGAGTGGTGCAAGCTACATTGATGGTATTCTGGGAGCTATTCAGAGCGGAAGCTCGAGCAGCAAGAGTATGGGAGAGGGAAACACTGAGGGACAGTTCCATTAGAGGGAAGTCGAGAGAAGGAAAAGCATGCGTCGGAGTTTGGGTATCTTTTTGTATATTCATCAATACCTTACAAATGATATTGTATATGATCAGCCAGGTTCATCCTCGCTAGTGACTGTCGACACGATAGTTGTTTGTGATGTGACCATTTCTTTCATTATTGAATCATACTAATCGTTACTACAGATTTACTTCCAGCTTACTCTCTCCCTCTCTTCATCCCTTACAACGAGTCCTTGCTAGCATTGTTCTGAGGAGGAGGATGCGCAGGTCCCTCCGCAGTAACATAGCACTTGGTCATACCACCGTCAACCGCAAAATCATGTCCATTAACAAAGCTTGACTCATCACTAGCCAAGAACAAAACAGCCTGCGCCTGCTCAACAGCCTCACCAAACCGTCCCATGGGGAAGTGAACCTCACGCCTGTGACGCTTCGCCTGATCATCACCAAGCCAATCCTGCAAGAGCGGGGTGTTAAGCGGCGCAGGACAAAGGTTGTTGAACCTGAAGCCC